GACAAAGTCTGGTTCCCTTACCACCAAGTCTCCCGTCTGGAGGCTTTGTCTCAATACCTTGAGGCTCTTGGCATCCCCGGGATCGCACACCTGCCAAAGAAAATTAGCACGCCATCAACTACTATCCCCGTCAGCACCATAGATCAATTTTCTGCGGCCCGGCAGTCTGTTTTTGGTATTGTTGACCGAATGGTCGACGATTTTGCATCCGTCTCTCGCTTAAGCGGGCTGCAAGATGCCTATTTAATGGGCTTGCAGAGCCCCCAAAGCCATACTCCTCCTCGCCCATACTCCCCAATGTCCTCCACCACTCTCCCAGCACGCACTAACGACATGCTCGTTGATGCACCACTCGACGGGATTGAGCCCAGCAACTACGCTGATGCTCCAAGGCCAACTCGGCCTGGTCGAGGACATCCTGGACGTTACCATAGAGGGAGAGGAGGGCGTGTCCACCCTCCTCAACAGCGCGAGCATGACTCTGACGCCCTCGGCGCGTTCACGCGCTTCTTCCGTGCTGAGGCACAGGCCAGTAAGTGCCCATACAGAGTCAGTCTGGACCGTCTCACTGACCTCCACCGGTCTCCTCTAGAGGAATTGGCCACTAGGAAGGAGTCTCACGCCTTTGACGCGCTGGTGCGCGCCCAACGCGCCTATGAAAGGTACTACCCTCATACCCGTAACCTATCACTGGATCACCGGTGTGGCCCTCGTGCTCACACACCACCTGAAGAACCACCATGCCGAGTATGCCGCGCACAGTCCCCTCCTCGTCACTGCGTATCACGCGCCAGCTCCGCCCCAAGCAGCCATTCTGCACTTACCCCGGCTGCTCAGCTGATTGCTGATGTGTCCAGCAACGCATCTGTTATCCTCGCCCCTACTCCTATCCCCACGCCTCCTGCAGTCGACCCTGGACGTGACGTCGAGGACATAATCGCAGCTGCTGAGCAGCTCGACCTCGAGCAGGCTGGCCATATGCCTGGGGTCACTACCGAAGATGTTCTCGGTAGAATCCTTCCTGTTTGCTCATTGTTAGTCAATGTGCTCATCCTCATACTTCTCATAGCCGTGTTCGCCTCCTTGGGATCCTCCCCGCTGTAGAGAATTATGCCTCTCATGGCGTGATATGGTGCTTTACACTAGGAAGTACATAGCACGAACTTGTAGCGTCACTCTGTGCACTACCCACAGCTATCTCTATATGACGCGCAGCTTTCCCGCGCAACGCGCGCCATGCGCGCACCATTCCCGCGCTTCGCGATGTATACGCGCGCGCGCGTTCCCGCGCTTGCGCGCCCTATGGCGCCAGCCATCCAGAAGCATCCATCCACTGTCCACCAAGCTCCCTAGTGCGTATATTTCCATTTCCTTTATTAGCATAGTTCCACCTTTATTTTTATCATGCATTCTCACTCATATATATATTTACATACCTACTCGGTAGCGCTTCGGCTCCGCTTGACCGCGCTTAGGCGCGCTATATAAGCGCCAGCAGTACATACTATTACTAACGTACTTTTCCCTACTTTTCACTTACTAGTTACTACCCACTTACTACTTAGCAGAATATAGTAGAAAGCTATTCCTTTACATTTTGCACTCTTATATCTCTTATCTTGCTTTATATCACCACTTAAGCTTAGTTTCTCATTTCCGCATACGCGCGCGCACTTTCCCGCGCTTCGCGCTAATACGCGCGCGCGTTCCCGCGCCTTTGTACCTTGCGCGCTCCTGCGCTTTCTCGCGCTTCGCTTAAGCGCACACTTCTAGATCCTTGCTGCACTCACTTCCCCTATAGGGTCGAACGCACTTGCTTCTCAAGTAACGCAGACTAGGCAGCGCGCGACCTTACAACTTTTACAGATACAGTCAGGAGCTTCTTTTGTTCCTCATTGTATTGTTGTTTCTACACCGCGAACCTAAGGAACTCGCATCACCTGAAGACAGGTCCTCTCGTGTAGAGGACCTGGAGGGCGTATGTAACGCTCGTCAAAAGCCGTCGACGATACGTCAACGGTAGCAACCAAATATTAGGTTTTATCATTCTCTCTACATCGGGAAAAAGCTCCTTCACAAAAACAAGGTAATTTCAGAATTTTTTGGAGAATTCCTCGTAATTTCAGTGAAATCCAGTGAAATCGAGTACGACCAGATTTCTCAAGCTCGGTCGTAGTTACTTTGAATTTCTTTGAATTTCTTTGAGTTTTCAGTCATTATTCCTCGAATACCATCAAATTATTTTGAATTCGGTTGAAGTCGACATACATAAACATTGATTAAAACGAGATATCACAATCAAAAGATGTGAAAAGAAAAGAAAATATCAGCAAACTGAGAAGCAACTGACTCGGTGCCATATTCATAGCTTGATTTATTCTTCGACCATTGCATCGAGATCGAGATAGTCGCAAGTGCTTGATGAGGCAGTGGACGCCGAGTTCTCGATTGCACTGGTGTTGAGTTAGTCAGAGTGCCCAACAATGAAGAATGGCGCAAGCAAGACGCACCTGACTGCCTTGTAAAGCCGTGCCATCAGTGCATGGTACTTCTTTATACTACCATTGAAGATGCGGTTGAGAGTCGCTTGGTGAGCCTTGTAAACACTGACGTGGGAGGAGGCATTGAATGATTTGACTTGCACATTTTAAGGCGGGTTGCCGCTACTCCAATCCTTCAATATCGCATAAATCTGTGGAGAATGTTATGTAGTCAGTATACAGAGTTTGAAACAGTATCACAGCCAGTGCCTACCATAGTTGCAGTCAAACACACCATAGCCACCGGTAGCTCTGGCTCATTGTTTCCATCTAAGACAGAAACGAAATCATCATGGCACTGACTGCCAAATGAGTCCTCGCCACCATCAAAGAATGACAATCGGATAATGTCAATGGTAGCCTCATCACAAAACGGTTGGTCCCCAAGGACCTTACCCTGGGTAGTAGATGAGAATCAGAGAAATGAAGAGAGAGATAACAAAATACTAAACAGACCTTGGCATCGGTTGGAAAAATATACTTGTGACTTTTAAGAAGGTCTTCTACCTTGTCAGCACAGCCTTTCTGGAGTCCAAAATGCGATACAACAATTTGATGTGTGAGCTTCTTGAGATTGGTGCAGAAGGAGCTCATTCGTCCCTCCGGCTTGTAAGTGTATTAGTTTCATCCAAATAACCATGCAAAAAGAGTACATACAATCCCAGCCAGAGCCAGTGCGTAATCAAAGTCGTGCTTCATCCTCTTTAATATCGCATATTCCTTGCGCTTCCCGGCAGCGGTATGGACCGCTTCCAGGGCCATCTTTCGCTTCTGAGTGATGTTGGGGAATGCGTTGTCGAAGAGAGAGGCTTTCTTGAGTTCGAACATGGCGGCCTTCAACACATTCTGTATCCGGGTGTTTTGAGCCTTGAGGTTGATAGAGCCGTCTGCTGAGTAGACTAGATCTGTGAATATGGGCCATGTAAAAGAATGATCAGACTCAGAAGCTGACACATGAGTGACATCTGAAGCTGGCCGCGGCGGCACCACAGTCTCCACAAATTTAGGTCTCTACACAGTGTGATGTGAGACGGAATCATGGGAGTGTGCAGTGGAACACGTCACCTCAAGGTCTTGTCGTTCTTCTAGCTTGCTCTTTTTCTTCTTGTCTTTCTTCTTGTCTGGCTGGTGTTTGGTGACGGCTGTTGCTTCACAGTAATATGGCTTGGAATGACCATCAGAGGCTTTGTCAGCAACATCAACTTGAGGAACACTGGCAGTAGTGCCAGAGGCCATCCATTCAGATACATTGCTACCCGTGCGCACAAAATGGGGAATCTATGTCAAAAGGTCAATTTCAATTTTTCTGACAATGGGGTCAAGTACCTCTTTAATGAGTTCCTCCTGGGAGAGTGACTCAAAGTCATCATCCTCAGGAACTTCCATGTCGTTGTCTGATTTTTCAGATGCATCGTCACTCTCTCCGTATTCACTAACAGTGTCACTATCTTCAATTGACACCGTGGCTGATTTCGAAGAGCGCGTTGATCTTTCACGACCTCGACTTTCAGCATGACTGATAACTTCATGTGCTTCTTGACCACGGTCTGCTGTTGAGTATCTCATCTGTCTCAAGTAGCAGTCTGTAACTAACCATTGTTGTGATCTAGCTTTTTTGCAGGTATCTTCCATGCTAATTTGGCTGCAGGTGCTGATTGCAGTCCAGTTACTGTGGGTGCGCACTTACGACTGTTGGCCGTTGTCTCATTCCAAACTGAAATCAGGTGCGTTTTAGTAACTGCTTTCTAACTGTGCAAGTGCTAACCTTTCCGCTCTAAGGCCTTTATCTTCGACGACCGTTGCAATGGTTCTTGATGATTGTGAGTCCCTCACAATTTTCTTTTATGTACTACTTACTATCTGTATCGCCTTGATTTTCACCACCAGATTCTTGACTCGCCTTGGCCTTTGTTTTGCTGTTCCGCTTGTGGGCGGCTATTTCTGACGGTGTTAGAGATGCTCTGGGAGGCATGCTGATGAGGGGGCAAACGGGAGGAAGGACTGAAAAAAACTGCAAGGTTCGCAGTCCGCTGCCATTTTGAAGCTTGTAAGTTTGTTTGTTGGTGCCACAGGGCCGCATGCCATCATGTTAAATTTTGCAACTAAACCTTTTCTGACCTGGATCTTCACCAACAGGGCGCGTTTGGTATTGCTTTCACTTTTGCACTTTGTGAGGGCGTGTCTGCTGGGGTACTGCTTTCGCTCTTGCACTTTGTGAGGGTGCGTCTGCCAGTGGTAATACTTTCACTTTTGCACTTTGTGAGGGCGTATTAGTCCACTGTCATTTGGTTGCTGTGCTGTATGTTATCACGTCAATTTTTGCAACTAAACCTTTTCTGACTTGGCTCTATCAACAGCCCACGCACACTATTTGGATACCTTTGTCTCTTTACGCATGCTGTTCGGATACCTTTGTCTCTTTATCTACACCTGTTTCTCGCCTGTTTCTCTACTGTCAGAATGAACACTTGCCCAGGCTGTGCTAAAAACTTCGAGCATACTGGATATGCTCATCACCTAGCCCAGACCATAAATCCATCATGCGCCGCTCAACTACAACTTTCTGGTCTTTTTCCAGAGTCGAGCGATAACGATTCTGATGGTCTTGCAGAGGATGGAGATACTGACAGTCTCAATGGAGGAGATGCAGAATTTACAGGAGACTACTTTGGCTACTACGATGAACAAGATCTGGAATGGCCAGACGATAACCACGATGAGCTCCCCTTGGAATCTGATGGAGAGGATGAAGAGTATCATGACACAGCGCTTGAGCATGGGTGGGAACGCCCTGCAGATCCTGTCCAGCAGGATATCAATGGTGGGGATGATTTTGAAAACTTGGACAACTCGGACACACTGTCACAATCACTCCCAGCCAAACGACAAGAAGCAGAGGTGCCCCTTGGTCACCAGCCCATTGTTGAGAAATTTCCAAGGCGCCATGCAGGTGCTCCAGTCCACCACTCCCGCACTACAGCTTTCGAGTCTTATAAGAATGTACTGCAAGGTGCAGAAAACATTTGGGCCCCCTTCGTGTCTCGCACAGATTACGAGGTCGCAAAGTGGGCAAAACTTCGTAGTTCTGGCTCAACTGCTTTTCCGAGCTGCTCGCAATCGATGGTGTGAGCTTTCTCAATTGGATCATGATGGGCCAATATTTACGATGACATTTATATAGCTTTGTGAAGCCTTGGGTCTTTCATACCAGAACTCCCGTGAACTCAATCAAATTATCGACCGACAGTTACCATGTCAACGACCGCGTTTCAAACACGAAGAAATTATTGTTGCAGACGAGGCATTTGATGTTTACTCGCGCTGTCTTGTTACTTAAGGGTCTTATATGAAAGTTGTGTATAATGACAACACAATTATACACGGTGAAGACTTCTTGCCAGTCCTTAAGTCCACGGTCTCTGACTTTTCTACTTCGTGGGAGGTAACGTGGTGAGTTCTTGGGAGGATTTAGTTTGTTGTCCTCTTCTTGTGTAGTCTTATACGAAGTTGTTGTGGAATGTTCTGTGTTCTGGATAAATTCGTTAGGTTTGTTTCAGCCTAGTAGGTCGTGTTTCAACCTATGAAAGTCTGTTTCAACTTTGTCGTCCTTAGATGTGTCTCACTTTCCGTTGAAAGGGAGAGTCTTATGAATACACGTAAAGCTTAGAATGAGAGCTGTTCAATGGTTATATAGTCAACCCCTGTAAGGTAGTATATAACCTAGAGTAGAATAACGATAATGAAAGTTATATACTCGACCCCTGTAAGGTAGTATATAACTTTAGAATAGATAATGATATCTTAGATTACCTCAAGGCACTTATATTGGCCTGCACTTTAAGTCTTAGTGGTCTCACACGGTTTGAGATAAGAGTCAAGTGGGAGGATTGTATTTCATGGGTGAAAATGGGGTCCTTTTATACCTTTTGGGAACCCCCTTACTAAGCATGATTAATCAGATGGATTGGTAAGAATGTGGCTTACAAACCAGGTGATGAATCAGCTTATTACTAAGTACATTACAAATACAGTGTAATCTTACAAAGAAATTAGAAACCATGACAAACCATGACTAAACATGTTGAGTCATGTTAAATGTTGTTACAAAGCATGGCCAATCATGACTAAACATGCTGAGTCAGCTTAAATAATGTTACAAACCAGAATATTTCCCAGTCACATGATGTGATGACAAATAAAAGCTGGTGGCTGAAAGAAGCCAAATACAAATAAACAGTCAGAAATAAATAGAGATACAAAACTTGGTGGCTGAAAGAAGCCAAATAAAAATAAACAATGAGAAATAAACAGAAGGTCACATGCTTGATACAAATACAAGGTAAAATAAGCCTGTAAAGTGAGAAATAAAATACAAGACAATGAAATAAAGGAAAAATAGAGAGGTAACTTAGTGACAAAGGGCTAGACAGTCTCTCATATCTTCCTTATCACTCTCTATATATATCTGACATGGTATGAATCACATACCATGCATGACAGCGCGACGTCATGGAGTGTGTCAAAGCTCTTTATTCAGATCCTGAATTCTCACCACATCTCAACTATGCTCCTGAACGCCATTATGCCGATGCCGACAAGACTATCTGAATGTATCATGATATCCATACAGGCAAGTGGTGGTGGTCCACCCAGGCAAGTCGTCAGACAATCTGTTCGAGTCATATTGAACTTAATGGAACCTCTTTTAGAAAGAACTTGAAACAAAGAAACCGGGAGCAACAGTCATACCCATTATCCTTTTGTCTGACAAGACACAGGTCACTATGTTTAGAAACAAATCTGCCTATCCTGTCTACATGACAATAGGCAATATTCCGAAGGAGATCTGTCGAAAACCATCTAAACGAGCGTGGATTCTGCTTGCCTATCTACCAACTTCGAAACTCGATCATGTCACAAACAAGGCTGCTAGGCGTCGAACGGCAACTAATTTGTTTCACGCTTGTTTGCGCCGCATTCTTGAGCCTCTGAAAGTCCCTGGCGAGGACAGCATTGCTATGGCCAGTGGGGATGGTGCTGTGCGTCGAGGGCATCCGATTGTCGCTTGTTACTCCGCAGATTACCCAGAACAGCTGTTGACGACTGGGGTAAAGTCAGGAGAGTGCCCGAAGTGTGATGTCCCACACAAGGAGTTGGGAAGTCCGCATTTCCCGGTAAACCTGCGAGACCTCAATGCAATTCTTGCTGCATTGTCCCTCGTCGACGAGGATTATGACCTGTGGAGACGAGCATGCCAGGAGTGTGGCATTAAGCCTGTCTTCAAACCATTCTGGCTGGATCTCCCGCACACCAACATATTCCAATCCATCACGCTGGATGTGTTGCATCAGCTCTACCAGGGTATCATAAAGCACCTCACTGAGTGGATCAAGGAGGCATGTAGCGAAGCTGAGATCGACGCTCGTTGTCGTAGGCTTCCCCCAAACCACAACATCCGCTTGTTTCTGAAAGGAATCAGTCACCTCTCACGTGTTAGTGGAACAGAGCATAACCAGATCTGTCGCTTCCTGCTCGGTATTGTCATTGGCATACAGTTGCCTGGAAATCTCAATAATGGTCGCCTTACTCGTGCCATTCGCGGCATCCTTGATTTCCTTTACCTTGCTCAATACCCTTCTCACACAGATCAAACTCTAGCACTGCTCGATGATGCCTTGACACGCTTTCACGATAACAAGGATATCTTCCTTGATCTTGGGATCCGATCGAATTTCAACCTTCCGAAGCTTCATTCCTTCCGTCACTATGTACATATGATCAAAATGTATGGCATGACCGACAACTACAACACCGAGTACACCGAACGCTTACATATTGACCTCACGAAGGATGCTTACAGGGCTACCAACCATAAAGACGAGTATAGTCAAATGACGCTCTGGCTCGAAAGACGTGAGAAGATGTTGTGGCATGATAACTTTGTTAAGTGGTGTCTGGTTGGTGATCTTGCCTCGCAAGAAAGGCCACCACCAGACATGGATTATTGTCGGGCAATCAAGATGACGAAACACCCGACCGTCAGACGTGTTCCATTGGATCACATTGTGCAGGACTATGGCGCCACTTTTTTCACAGCAGCATTGGCTCGTTATGTGGTTGGCAGGAATCAACCTGGTTTATCTGCAGCACAACTGGAATGAGAGGCTGCTCATATCATTCTTCCCTTTGATGCTGTGGCTACATTCCACAGGATCAAATTTCACGCAATTGATGCTCACGGGTTCCAGGACTCGAGTGTAACAGTAGATTCTGTGCATTCTCAACCATCGCGAAAGGACAAGAGAGGGCACACGATCCCCGCACGCTTTGATACTGTTTTGGTCAACGAAGGGGATGGTGGGATAACAGGCGTGAATGGTGCGTTTGCATTTGTGTGAACACGGCCGTTAATCTGACTTTATTCCAAAAAGGATACCGTGTTGCGCAAGTTCGCGTCGTCTTCACGCTGACAAGTCAAGCTACAAATTTGTTATTCCCCGCTGGACCTCTAAAACCACCCACCCACCTTGCGTATGTGGAATGGTTCACACCCTTCCAGCAACCTGAATCACACCATGGGCTGTACAAAATTTGCTGTCTGATGCGGCGTCTTGCAAGCATTATTGATGTATCGGACATCCGCAGGAGTGTTCATCTTTTTCCAAATTTCGGCGCAGTAGTACCTCGTGAATGGACGAGCAGTACCGTTCTGGAGCTCTGTCCCAGCTTCTTTGTAAACTCGTTCAGTGACTGACACACTTATTTAACTATTGTTTGAGGAATATAACGAGATTCATTGAAATACTCTCGAAATACATGTAATTTAACAGATTCGTTGAAATACTCTCGAAATACATGTAGTTTAACAGATTCCCTGGAATTCCTTCTTTTTTGAGCCATTCTTTCTCGTGTGAACGTTCATCGAACGCCACAGGGACCTTCCCGGATTGAGTCATGAGGCAGCAAGAGGCTAACACTTAGTACTCACCGGAACCAAGTCTTGAAAATCCTCGCCGAAGATATGTGAAGGAGGTGTTCGAAGAATTGTTCTGCTTTCTGTTGGTCATATGGCCCGCGTGGTCCATACTTAGCGCCTCGTTGTTTCGCATCGAGTGCTTGCAGTGAAATTGTGGCTGCAAATAGTTGGTCATCCGGTGTCTCTGCATCGGCCAGTAGGATGACAGCGAGTGCTTCAAGAGACGTTATGGCGTGCGGGGAACTATCTGCCATGGTGGCGTGAACGTGTTTCAACGACGCATGCGCCGGTGAGCACAGTCCAAACGCCTGCGCCTCGCTTAGCAGATTTCAAGCGCCGCTATGTGCGTGCCGAACGTGTCGCTTGTTCATTTTATTGGCATTTTATTTCGGAGGCATTAGCACGAACTGTCACGAAATAAAATGGCCAAATAAAATCGTTATTGAGTAGGGCTGTTACCTGCTATTTTGAGAATTCTAGTGGCGCTATATACACGTAGTACGGATACAATTTATTGGTGAAAATTTGGATACTTCATGAATCTTTGTTCAGTGCATCCATCACTCGAACATTCTATTTCGCCGCGTGACTTCTCGCAGAGCAGATGCATGAATTTCTCGATATAAGTCAAGTTTTGGGTGAATGAGAGCTGTACAAATCTTGTAAGCAACGGCGCAGACTGATTAACGCCAAGACCAATCGTGAAAAAACCCAGAGTTCGGATCAAGTTCTAAATTAAGCGTATATATCGCATGCGTCCGGTCGAAGTGCACACCACTGCGGCTGGAGTGGGATGGCATTGATGCCGCGCTGTACCATCCTGTACCTGACGTCCTGTATCGTCCATCTGTCATCGAAGTACTTCCACATCAAGAAACACTACTTACATGCAAACGAGGAAGTGCCTCGGTGACGTTGAGCGCAGCACCAGTGGGCTGCTTCCCACTCCAGAAAATTTCTGCTGATGCTGCAGCGCGTGGCCACACGATCGGGTCGACATTTTGAGGACCAGACTGTTCACTCCATAGAATTTGCTCGCCTGCAGATTTCTCAGAAAGGTTGGTTTAACTTTGAGACTAGATTGTGTTTACCTCCGAGAACAAGTTCGTACTGCGCCTCGGTCAAGTTTGCCAACGGATCAAAGGTATATGCCTAACGAAACATTGTGAGATGCGTGGCTATCTTCGACATTCATACTTGCCTTGGACCAGGTCTTGAAGGGGTCGCACCAGCTATTTCTGTTCTCCCAAGGGATGTCAGTTCAGATCGAGTACATTCAACAAGACGAGGACTAACCCAGTTGGGTCGTCTCCCAGCCATTCACCAGCACCACAATCCTGGGATAATAAGGATGTTGTGTCCTGTAGAAAAACTCGTCAACTGACCAGGTAGAAGTAATTTGATGGTGCGTGGATGATCCTGAAACCCCTTCCTGCCACTGCAGCAGCATCTGCAGAAGAAATCCAAATCCTTTCAATACAGTTGAATCAGCAAAGTCAGATCATGATATCATTATACTTACATCACAATAGTCTCGTTTGAGAGTGTAATATTCCAATCGAGGACCATTTCTGAATGACCGCGGTCTCCATTTAATACTGTCATTCAAAGGAAGAAACACAGCGCATACCCTCCCACACGACGGGCGTCTTTCCCTGGGCAATCAGTGCACCGTGAGTGGTCTGTGTGAACGTGTCAAGAGCACCGTTTAGCGTCATGCCGGTCCTGTTGAGCTGCTGCTCCGTTAGGTAGTCATTGGCGTAACAGTTCGTGTTAAGTTCATCGCCGCCGGTGCTGAAATAGTGCGAAGGGAGGGCCTTTGCGACGTTTGTAAGTAAGGAAGCAGTGAAGTTCATGACCTCTGGGAGTGCAAAACGAAGCTGGCCGGCAGGGGGCTCGTTGGCAAAGTCTGCCCACGGGCTAGCATCAGAGCATGCAACATATTCGGGGTAAGTGGCTGCAATGATAGCGGTGTGGCCGGGTGTATCGATTTCCTGTTAGAGTGCTCAGAGTTATTTACAAATTTAACTAATGAACACTGACCATCATAACATCGATGCCTCTCTGCGAGAATACCATCAGCAAACAAAAGATCACGATGAAAGGAAACACGTACTGCAGCAGCATACTGCACGATGTATTGGACATCGCTCGCTGTGTAAACTTCTTGAGGAGAGTATGCACCATTGATGGAGAGCTCGGGGTACTGTGCGACTTCGAGTGGAAAACTCTGACTATCCGTGATATGCCAGTGGAAAGTGTTGATCTGTATAGCTTGTGAGGGACGATAAGACGAGACACCAGGAAAGCACTCGCCTTCACCCAGCTCATCGCGTCCAACGTTCGCAGAATGTCGCAGACCGGGTAGTAATTTCTCGAGGTATCCAGTCCTAATCCCCGGAAAGGCTACGTATATGGGTTCAGCACCAGACGTCAAAGTGTAAGGGATAGCTGCTCACATATGCAGGAGTATCCTTGATAGAAATCGGGGCGAGTAAAGTATAGGTTACTCCTCCATAATAGTAGAAAAGCTGATTAAAAGTGGTGAGTCCTCTGTACAGGCCTAACGTCGAGTTCGCCGTCAAAGTAGCAGCCGAGCCGTCTGCTGGAATGATCAGTGCATACTCCTCACTACGGGTTCCCAGGGGCTTGACAGCTTCTGAAGAGATTGGCTCTGCAGCAACTCCACTCGCGAGCGACAGCGTCAACTTTGAAAGCGTCCTCGCGGTAGCCAGTGCGCTAGTGTCATTTGAGCCGCGTCCTACGACGAGACGTCCAAGTTTGTCGTTTTCGAGATAGTGCTGTGATTGCGCGACCGCGTCACGTAGATCTGACGGCGGGCCTTCAATTTGAACATCAAAGTAGAATGTGGGGGAGATTTTGAGGGTAGTCATGCCGGTCTCGAGGGTAGTTGGGATGGGCCAGAGAGCCTGAACACCAGAAGGAAGGATGCATCCTGTGACAAGTGCCAGGATGATAAGGTAGCGAGAAAAGGCCATGAATCAATGTGCGCGGGTTAAAGATGCGACCAGTTCAACTGCAGCTGTTTATAAAAGTCACAGCTGAATACTGAGCGCTAGTGGTGAGGTCTGAGGATTGTCATGTGCGCTTTCAACATGCGTACGTAACGCTAAGTGACCCAGAATTCCAGTGCAACTAGAAACTTTGCATGTGTCCAGCGTTGACAGGTCCAGCGTGGATGGCCTTCGGAAGTTTGAATCATCCATATGTTGTCCATATGCATGTCCGAGGTGGGATCCCGCGGTTCAACGGCGCGTAAACGCGTCTGTCACGATCGCGTGACTTATTATAAGACTGAATTCTCGAAATGGGAACTACTTACGTCAAACCGTAGCGTCAAGTGAACCTCTGTCCGACCAAGACTAATAATTCCTGGCACACGACGCGCATGGGCTCCTCCTTCAAACAGATTTCATTCGCTTATCAGCAGACTTCAAACCGGTTTTTCTCTGACGTCTGATGATTGCCAGATCTAGACCAGCCCTGTGCAACTGGTCATGTCGCGTGATAAGTTTCGAAACGCAAAACTAGAGCGGAGCCGCACTCATCTGGTATTGATGTTATCTCAGTAAGTGATAAACCTGGTGACAGTTTTACTCATTCTCATAACTCTGGCAGGCATATGATAGAGCCGTAGAGTGAGTCACAGGTGTTTCAAAGATAACGACTTGCATCCCTATTGCGGCTACGAAGCCTGCCAACAAGTGCTTACTACGGCATAGACCAGCCTGTCGCTTGTGGTTGACACCACCATCCTGCCATATAACACTCGTGTCAAGGGGCCTTGATCACGGTCGGTCGCTTTCGTCGTGTCCCTGAAAGCTGTCTAACATTGCGCGCAGAACTTGACTGTCCACTCGATCAATGCTTATAACTCGTTCCTCAATCCATGAACACTAGATTGCCAAGCCACGTTCCCTCGAACTCTTTAGCTCCCTGAACGTCACAAAGTTTAACGACCTGGGGAAACCCACCCTTACAATCCATTCCTACAAGCCTGGAACGTTGGAACCTACCCTACGATACAATTTGTACGTACTACGCAGAACCGCCATTTCTCAAGCAACCATGCTTTTAGTATTGTAACACGTCCCGAGTTCATAGGTCAACAACCCCTATAGTATGTGATTCTGCGACGCCACATCGAGAAATTCTCATGCTCTGTCAAGATGGACACTAAACTGTGTTCGTTCGAGCAGTCCGACGAAGGTGTCATAGGTTCTAGGAAAGAACGGTATATTGGAGATCTTATACTAAGAGGATGATCCATGCTGACGGTGCTAAAGGTGATATGTAATAGTCCAGCATTCAACTTTGTACGATCCCCTTGCCCTGCATCTGTCATTACTGCTAACTTCCTACTGCCGTACTCTAGTGTTGTCTCCAGTTCTTGAAATCATTTCTATCTACCACTCACGACATTTGTGTTGAACATTCGTTCTTTCTGATTTCCCCTGTTCATTATCACTTGGTATATCTTCTATATAATTTTTAGACTATCTTTATAGCACGCTAGACATGGCTATGGTATCTCATCATATGGCATGGATATATCCTATGTAGTTGTTGGATTTTATTAAGCACATATTGTGTTGTGTGATCAGATGGCCGTTACGGATACGGATATCAAAAGGACTGAACCAGTGAGTTGTTGGCGATTATGCAGAAGTACTAGTACAGCCATTCATAACTACAGTCAACAGCGACGACAACGATAACGAATGAATGAAAGAACTCGAAGGTATGTAACAACATTCGTGAATGTATTCCAAACCCAAATATTCTAGGAGGCTCCCACGACATGCGGCGCAGTAGCCGCTCTCAAAGATCTAAGATGCCTGTTGACTTCAACCCAACTTAAACCATATAGGTTTTGAACTTGGTCGATACAAGGGAGCCAGGCGGAAATGATGCGAGCGATAATTTCAGCATCCGCTATTTGAAACTCGGATGACTCCAAATCCAATGATCGTAGGGAGGTATGTTGTATTGGCTCAGCATCAGGATCGATGTCGATAGTTGCAATCTTGATTGGAACTTGTAGTGTATGCAATTGTGGACATAGACCGAGCGCTGTGAATAATCCACGGAGGGTGACTTCGGAAGAAAAAGCAGAGTCATCGATTTCCAGGGTGCGGATGTGCGGCCAACTAGACATAGCTTGCAAGAGCATATCATTGTCCAGGTAGATGTGAAAATTATTCAACATGAGCTTCAGGGTTCGGAGCTGTGTGAAGCAAAGGAAATGCGGAATTGGTGTCAAAGATCCGTCGTTTCCCATGAATTCGTCATCATAAGAACAAATGGAGATTTCTTCTAGAGTCCGACAGTGGGACAGAGCATGAAAGAGTTGCTCGGCCTGTTCTGAAAAGAAATAGTTGGCTTCAAACGCGAACTCTTTCAGCGAGGGAAATTGCGAGTGTTGCATGACTGTGATGATATCTTTAGGATCGTAGAGCTCTTGAAAAAAAAGGGTTGTGATGTTAAGGAATGATAGATTCACGATATCTCGTTTTGACAACGAAGAAGGGTCATTACACCCTTGCTCAATTCTCAATTTGAGAAGAGTAGGGAGGGAGGAGAGGTGCTTCCATGTTGCCCAGTCGAGCATTGGACAAGCCAGAGTTACAAGCTGCGTGCACCAATGAATCCTATCAGATAGCGGGGACAGCTCATCTGCTGTGCTGTCGCCATCGCATATTTCAGGAGTGTAGATGCGTAGATGCTCCAGAGCAATGCAACGTGTCACAAAAGATTGCAGACCCTCGTCGACGCTCAATAGATGACATCGGTGCAGCATGTGAGGCAGAAAGTGGTTCAAATATGTGGTGGAAAGACTTAATGACTTCAGCTTCGGAAAAATGCATGCCTCGGCAGGGATGACAGAGAGAAGGTGCGGATGTTCGGATTTTATGTCCAATGTGCGTATACGGGAGGAGTGACGCAGAAATTGATGGACCTCATGGGCAGATAATGGCTCGACATCTTTCGCCCAGGGCTCGTTCCACTATTAATATTATGTAGACGCTCGGTGAGCCGAAAACAAACAAACAAAGCGTAATAAAGTCGTGCACTGACCCTTGTACGACTATGATGATATATCAGTGGATGTAGCCTCGCTACACAACCTAGCAGTGGTTCTAACTCATGGATTTCAACCCACAACAAATCCATCGCAGGCTCATAGAAGATTTTGCATGTCCTTGCAAGCCCTGCAAACAATTTCTGGGTCGATGTTTGAGTAGATGGTATTGTGTTCACATAGGCGAATATCTCCAGGATGACTTCGGGAACAAGTAAAGCTTGATGCATCATTGGGGTACGGTAGAGTCAGGACTCAAGACAAGGTTTCATGTAAACCGGGCCAGGTGAAATTGACGCGGCCCTGCCGCGCCTGCCGCGGTCGTGACGCGCCTGTGACGCGGCACTGACGCGGCATATGTGACGCGGCACTGTAACAAATTCCTACGTACAGATCATGTTTACACAACTTCATATCGCATTCCAAACACTTTGAATCGTCGTTAATGATCAACATATGAGTGTCTGCCTGCGTACAGGCTCTATAGTGCTGTATTTACCTCTCACCAAATTTACAGTGCTTGTCCTCTGCGTTCATACTACTAGTATGCATCTTGCGCGTGACGCAGCGCGTCAGTCTTATATGTTGCATTACCTCTAATTCGTTCATCTATGTTGGTTTTCAGATGCAGTGTCAAATGTTGTCTCACTGCGTCAAGCTTCGACCTCACCCTGCCAAGTTTGATCCACTCTCTATACCCTGCACCACCACGTCAAGCCCCAACCATGACATGTCAGAAGCCTCGTTTAGGCTGCGTCAAGCACTACTCACACCACGGCAAGTTCTCCCAAATATCTTCGCAGTCTCTGTATTAATATCAACATCCACACTCTATGCCGCGTCAAGGCCTACTACAGTGCCGCGTCAAATGCGCGTCAGTGCCGCGTCAAACAAGTTGTGCCGCGTCAGTTGCCGCGTCAAACCTCCTCCATGCCGCGTCAGTGCCGCGTCACAGGCGCGTCACGCCGCGTCAAACCTCGTCACTGCCGCGTCACCCGCGCGTCACGCCGCGTCAAACTTCATTCATGCCGCGTCACAAGTAGCACATGCCGCGTCAGACCTCATCACCTCCACATGCCGCGTCAAACCTCACCACCTCAACTGTCACACTGTCCGTATAACTTAGGTATATTTTACTTTACATCTGTCATAATAACTGGTATTCTGACAGTGTTCCTTTTCATCCTGACAGAATTAGATGTCGTACACTGTAATTGTCCATAGACAATAATAAATTTATTTTACTACGCATCGAAGCTCGAAACGAAGAATGGAACGATAACATGCTGTTGAACATGGCTTGGGCTGATCTCATGATAAGCTATCCTACCAATAGCTTCGTGGCTGACGTCGACCTCGAGTGTCTGACCGCACTAGAAGCAAGGATGTTCGAGGATTCCGAAGAAGCAGGACCTGCAGGCAACCAGCAGTGGGGTTTGGATGGTGGCCAACATTACAGGCGATGGAATGTGTATCTCGGAATTCCTGACGAATGGGTTTCTGCAAGAGATTATAGCGAGAGTGAACTTGAAGTGAGGAAGACATTACCTGCTCCGTTCGATAGATATGATATCTAACTTATGTGATTGACAGCGCGGCCCCTTATTCAGTGATAACTCTGATGCTACATCTTTGGGGTCTGCAGACGAGCTATCCGAAGCTGTAGTTCCTTCTCTGCCGGCCGAAGAATGTCCGCCCGTTAAACGTCGATGTGCTCCACAGGCTCGAAGGGTCCAGAGAGGGAGGAAGAGAAAATAGTCATTGGCTTATGTGTACCTAGTTGTACATGGCTCTGAGGCAAATAAAATAACAAAAGAATGGTCGTGAACTCATCCAACTTGATCTGGAAGTTGAATATAGAATATAGGAATGGCGCGTCAGTGGCCGCGTCAAGGATCGTTAGTGCCGCGTCAAGGCTCGTCAGTGCCGCGTCACGGCCGCGTCACGACCGCGGCAGGACCGCGTCAAAATAGCTACGCCCATGTAAACCTAAAAGCATTGCCTGCGTGGGACCAATAATATTAATGAGTGTTAACTTGTTACCTGCTATTCTCAGAATTCCAGTCAGTGGTATATACAGTTGAACGTCAAACACGTAGTATGAATACAATTTATATAACGCATGACTCTCACGAATGCGGTCACCGTGACCAAGAGTCCGAGTCAATCAAACAACAGTGTTGGCCGGGTGCATACCCCATCTTGGGCCGCAATGTACCTGATCAGAGGCTTACCTTGACAACAACAACACAACCGTAAGTGTTGGTTCGTGTTCAAAAGAGGTAGCTTGATGTTTTGACTTGCAGGCCTCAACCCTGATGCTGAGTTGCAACGTAACACCCCTGAAGTATATGGCTGTCTTATTCAGTGCCGCACAGGACACAGCTTCATTGGAGAATACTAATGGTCAATCCATCATTGCGTCTAGCCGAAACCTTTTATTGAAAGCGGCCTGGTTTAAACCTGTAGTTAGCCTGTAGTTCCGAAGACTCACATACATACACAAGTACCAGAGGATCCGTAGCTACTTTCAATGATGTTCGAAGGCTTGAATTTTTCGGAGGAGTTGTGACTGATCTGAATTTTCTGAAAGACAATCTCCATGGGATACAAAGGACATGTATATAGGCCATCTAAGACCGATGAGTTACTGGTCTAAAGAGTCTTGAGAACAATCGTCAGTAGCATCAAGAAATGGAGAAAGCATATTTTATACCAAGGACGGTTGGATCCAGTTTCTTCACAATGACATGACTTGCGCGCGAATGGGCTTGACTGTGCTCGTACTATGTACTGAAGCAGAAGACGAAGCTGCAAACGATTCTAATTTGAAATAACACGAGAAACATGCCAAGAACGAGATAACTGGAGCACACCGTATCCGAGTCAGGGTCATTTCTAGAAACAACAGAATGAGAAATCACAGATCAACAACTTGTGAGTATGTACCAGACGACAGGAATACGGCGCAGAACTACACATCTATATGGATGAAACCCGTCCTCTGCTCGAGCGGCACTTTTGTCTTCACAGCGTGAGCCCAGGCTACCTTCGTGCAGTCCATGGCACTACCATTCTTCGAATCCTTGAACACGTTCTCGTAAAGGGCCTTGACGATGAGTTTTGCGACTGCGTCATTGACTACCCAGAAAGTGCCTGAACCACCAGAACGGTAGACCTGCTGCGAGATCAATGCCCTCGTTAGGGGTCCGCTTGTTGCCGTGACACCTGAGCGCTTCGTCCACGCAGCCATGAAACTGTGGGAACGAACAACTGCCCAATTTCCTCAACTCCCAACCGACACCCACTGATTTCTGGTCATTGCGCGCTGGGGTCGTCTGAAAGGTGCTTCCCGTGAGTGATACCCCAAGTTCTTCTGCCGGTTGAAGCTGACGACTCGCTTACCAGAGACATCAGATACCCACGAAGATTTGTTGCATCTTATCGAATTTAGCAGGACCTGAACTCGTCGTCCAAAGCTGTTTTGTGGGGGAGGATTGGATATTAAATTTTGTAAGTAGACTATCTCGTGAGTAATGGCCTGTGTGGTTCTGATGAGCATTAAATTGGAAGGAGATAAGCCCCTGGATTCACCAACAATCATTGCCATTGTCAGATAACCTGATCTGAGTCCAAGATCCCTGTAGACTTCTCTCGCGTACACGATCTACCTTATTTGATCACCCAAGCGCCGACCATGTCGTCATCCACCAGTACGACGGCAGTGGTCACGCCACGCCACACGATGCAAGGTCATGCAAGACAGGTCAACAGTGCTGTGCACTTGCCTGACGGACGACACATCATCACATGTTCGTCGGACGGCTCACTCCGACTATGGGACCTAGAGAGTGGAGCACAGATAGGCGAGGACTGGCGAGACGAAGATAATGTAGTATTTCGATCCATGTCATTGTCTCCAAACGGCAAAACGATTGCAAGCGGAGACTATGACGGGAAAGTGAGGTTGTGGGATGTCGAGACGAGGAAGGTCATTGCCAGATGGACAGGGCACGCCCATACTGTGCAATCATTGTGCTGGAGTGCAGATGATAAACGAATGGCAAGTGGATCCTGGGATGGGACGGCAAGAGTCTGGGATGTCAAGAAGGGCAAAACCGTCCTGAAAATCGAAACCAGTCACGCCCGGGTGAATACGGTGATGTACTCGCCTGACTCATCAAAACTCGCCACGGGGGGGTATGAGGAGAACGCTGTGAAAATCTGGGACACGAAAACGGGAAAGCGTCTCAAAACACTCAAACACTCAAACACAGTTCGCAGCTTGGCATGGACGTCCTTGGATGGAAATGGCAAACTCATCTCCGATTCATATGATCAGATTAGGATATACGACACCGCCACTTGGGAGCAAATCGCTATCCTTGAAGGTCACACAAAGCATGTCACCGCCCTCTCCTTGTCTCAGAACAATCGCCTCCTTGCAAGTGCATCTTATGATAAAACAGCACGTTTATGGAATGTTGACACCAACCTCCCAGTTGGACCACCCCTCCAGCATGAAAACGTTTTGTGGTCCGTAGCTCTTTCCCCTGATGCAAAGGTGCTAGTTATTGCCGAGGACACAACCGCGTACACTTGGGACGTTCACGCCATCCTCAAAGAAGCTGGCCTTGAGGACATACTTTCCATTGGTTCCAATATTGTCACGGTAGGTGTCAACAACTTGAGTCAACAACTTGAGTCAACATATCCATATCACCTGCTCTCTCTGACAATGTCTGCTGTTAGGCACCAGAGGAAAGACAGGAACAGGAACAGACGCCACCTCAAGATGATGATTCAGGACCCCGCTCTTCGCTCAGTGACAGGTCATTTTTGGAAGTACGTACCGAGTTTGCAATCTCTCTCATTCATTATAACAGCAATATTGTAGCTTGATGCTACGCGATGTCCTGGCCAATTTGACGATATAGATGAACTTCCGCCAATGTTTTTTCATGGGATGGAAGCCCCTCAGTCCTCCCCAATGGATGATTTACGCCCACATTCCTCTGCAAATGCATTTCTCGCTCGCCTTCTCTCGCTCCTCCACCGCTTTCGACCCGACAATGATGGAACGACTGAACTTCCGCAACCTTCGCGGCCTTTGGCGGTCCATCTACGTACACTCCTCGCTCGCCTGTCCTCACTCATTCACCGCTTTTCACCTGAAAGTGATGCACCAAATGAACTTCAGCAACCCTCCACGCCTTCCCGGTTAGATCCACATGTGCTTCTGGCTCGCCTTTCCTCACTTTTCTCCCGATCTCGACTCAGTACAGACGAAGAAGGCGAACATCATCTAACATTGCCTACGAGTTCACATTCAGATGCGAGGCTCATCGGCCGGCTGTCCTTATTCTTCCGCTCTCAACCCCACACCAACGAAGAAGCCGAACATCATCCCACAGTGGCTTCAAGTTCACGTCCATATGCGAGGCTCGTCAGCCGGCTGTCTTCACTCTTCCGCTCTCAACCCCACACCAATGGACAAACAGAACTTCCGCAACGCCCAAGTCGTCCTCGTGTTGTCGACGTGGCTGCAGTGCGGGACAAACAGGTATGGCTCTCCTTGGTGCATTTACAATCGCTGTGGTTTAGTGATCTCCGTTCAGAGTTTGGTTGTTGCTCGGGGGCCAAATTTTAAGAAAGCAAAACGAGCATATGAGGAACGAACCAAATCCCACGCTCAAGCTCAGGCATCGTCATCGGGCACTCAGCCTGCCCATGCTTCGACATTAGCGACATCTCCTGTTCCAGGTACTAACACTACCACAATAGGCGCAGCAACCCCGCAGTCACCACCCATCCCATGGTGGAGTCAGATCGTGCTATTTCTCTGCTGTGCATCTCCACCACCTGCCAATAGTCATTGATACAATTAGCGTTGCAGCATTTGGACAACTACTTCACCTTTGCTTCTAGTGATTTCGCACTTATGTCTCTTTCCTTATGTCTTTCCAGTACACCATCAATCTCATTTCCTCATCATAAGCCTCATGCAATGCACCGGACAGGATAACACAGGGAAGGACTAATACACTGTACAAAATGATATATGATACACCAACGAAAGGACAGTCTCAACTCTCCGCAACCTAAACGAAATCAACAGTCGTTCATACCCTCGACATTGAGAGCGGGTCTCCCCTTCTCCTTTCCCGCGCGAACCTTCTTTGCAACAATGCCCCTATAGGCCATTTGAAAGTCAGATTGCATATCTTTCATGCTGCTCGGAACCCCCTGCATGAATTCCTCGACCTCTAGAACTCCAGATCTGAGTGCATCAACGTCACGGGCACGATGAGCGGATGAGGAAGGTTCTAGCTGCTTGCGCAGTTTCAATCCCTTCCTGAGGAGCGTTCTGTAAATAGGACGGTGTCAGTTATTGCATGTTGCTGAGTAAGTGAGGACTGACGCTATCCCGCTTCTCTGCTTGCCCAACTCTTCAAGCTTTTCATGAGACTCCTTGTTGAAAAGGCCTTTTGTCTTCGTTTTGGCAGCTCGAGTCAGAGCAATGCCTCGCTCCAAGCACACCAGAAGGTGAGGCAATGGTCCAAGGAAGAGCAAGCTGTAATAACCCGGACGCCATTCAGGGGACTGCGTCTCCTTCAGGCATGTCATGAATATCGCATCGATTTCGGGATTGACTGCACGACTCGAGCGGCGTCTGACGTAACGACGGTATGCGTTCTGAATTTTGCAAGCCGCTTCTTCTTCCTGCACCGATGGTCCGTTGGTGCGTAGCGACTCGTCAAGATCAGGTGCAATCAATGTCATCGCTTCATTCACAGTCTCCGACGCATCACGGGTCTCGGTATCAGCATTCGCCGTGACATCTTCCTCCCTTTCTTCCTCTCCTTCGAACTCTTGAGGTTGTGGTTCCTTTATCTCTTTCTCATCGTGCTGGATAACCTGTGGTTGGTCTTTGGAATGTCCTAAGCGGGGTACGGGGGCAGGGGCCTCTATTCTCAGGGTAGACTGTGCGATCACTGCGTACGATGAGAGGAGATGGGGGATCTCGATGGTCTTCTCATATACGAGCCGTCGGCCTATACTAGTATTGACTCGAGTATATTGGTTCATCGTTTTATGGACAAGATGCACCAGGTTGCCCACTCCTTTATTGTCGTCGAAAGCCAGGAGAGCTCGCAAGTAAACGTCTGAGGGTGGCGCCTGTCCTGGCAAGGGTGTCATGTATCTGACCACGTCATCCACGAGCTTCCGATAGTTAGCTAGACGCCAGTTTGAAGGAGTGTTGTTGTCGTGCAGAGAAAGAATGATATTGTCTACTTTGTTTCTCAAGAAGCGATTCCTGATGTTATGAGCAACTAATGAACACAATTCAGCAGCGGATGGGTATTGAAAAGAGACAATAAGCGTACTGAGGCAGAGAACTCTGCAGCTGTAATACACGTGATCAATATGCACATCGCCGACGGATACTAAATTGAACTCACATCCGGGAAATGAAAACATTACGGAGAATAGGCGTAAATCTCGTATGGTTCAGCCAGAGGAAATCTGCCTAATTGTAGTCTCGGATCTCCGAGAAGTCGAGAGACTCACCCATGCCTGCTTCTACGCGCAATGCTTCGACCAGCCTCGCTATCTCATCCAGAAGCTTACCCATCAAAAATAGCTTAGTTTCTTTCTCCGTGGTGAATTTGTGGGGGAACAGTAGCCAGCTACATGGAAGGACGACGTTATGAAGAGGAAACTTATTGAAGTGTGGGTCCATTTGATAGTTGATTACAAAAGTGCTGCAGATGTCCTCGATACAGTCGCACAACACCGAGAGGTTGACATATAAACGATTATCGAGGACATGTCTGAATTGCACTTAGTTCATTGCATGTAGAGACAAGAAGAACGTGCCTACATAATATACAGAATCCCCGACGAGATGCTGCTGCGGGTAGCTCCTTGGTAAGAACTAAGTAGGTCATGGACCATATAGCGATTGTCCCCCTTGCGAAACAGTTCTAACGGTCCGGAGATCGTACAATTTGCTCGAGAGATGTAGACAGGTGCGTCGTTCCTGTCAAAAGCAAAACTAAGACTGGTTATTCCCATCAACGCCGTCAAAAATTCAGCCTGGGTATGGAATGCGTCGAGCGAGTAGAAGGATTCGCGGATCCAGAGCTTCACCACTTTCATGCCATCTAGACGAAGAGGCATCAGGTTCATGTCGAGGTCCGCGGGAGAACCTTGAATGAAGAAGGGTGGATTGATAGCCTCGTAAAGATGCTTGAGCCAGTCCCTCATGCTGATAAAGTGATCAGTATGAGTACTCGATTATAAGCTACCTCCAGGTGTACCTATCGCGTCGCTCAATGTATGGGTGAGCGGAATACATGAATTGCAAGATCAGGATTTGCCATATGTGGATGGCAACACGGTTGTTGTAATACTGGCGATCCAATTTCGATACTGCAACATGCTCTTGGGGACAGTTATCTATTCGACATACTCCGGATATCAAGAATTGCAGGCATTGCGAGAAAACGGGAGATTTGCAGCACATAACATCGATCTCCGATATTTTGTCTTTCAAGATCGTTCGAATGGATTGTTGTAGCAGCTTGGTGACGATTCTACGAGAAGCTGTGTACCCGGACGGATGTTTCGATACAAAAATGATGCCCTGGCGGATTTCCATTAAGTTGTGGAGGAACGTTCCATCTGGTATGAGAAACTGGTCACCGGACAACCGCACGATGGAGAATAGTCTTTGAATACCCCTATGCTCCATGGGGTCAGGGAAGGTTAAAATCAGATAGAGCAGTCGTGCATAGGCGTGAAATTGTTGAAGGAACCATTGCATTTCATCGACCGCGAAAGTTCGAATGTCTGTGGTTCGAGAGAATATATGGTCCAGGCAAAGGAGAGCTGCTGGCTCGTTGTTCTGTTCATGGAAGCCAAGCGCAAGATTTCTCAACAGCTCGCGATTTCCGCGCAAGATGCTCTGAAACATCGATATCTGGATGTCGATCAGTTCAGTTGGTCACTTTGGTACTGCTAATACGTACTTGATCACGTGCCGCCGGCGTTAGTTTGTTCGTCTCTAGTTGATCAGCAAGAGCGATGAAATGCTGCATTGGCTCGTCAGCAATGGATTCCACAGTGATTCTAAAGGAGCATTGGCGCCAGAAGTATTCCAATATAGTATCGGCCGCACGGATGGTAGAATCGATGTTGCTTTCGTCCTTCATGAATGCCCGGACAGCTTCCAAGGGCCTATTCTCTGACAAGTGGAGCTCTGCGGCCTCATAGTACCTCGAATGAGATTCAAGCAGTAAGGCGCGAGCGTCATCGAGATCATAGTCCTCCAGAGATTCGAGTTCCTCATCAACTTCCTCATCAAATGTCGAGAAGAGGGGCAAGGGGGGCCTGCGCAATTGCTATTAAATAGAAACATTGTGGAGAGTCTTAAACTTACTGAGTGTTGTTCCTGCTGCAGTAAGACTGTTCGCGCACAACGCATAACTTCGCTGTGGGTTCTTCGGGTATATCCATTCCATGGTCATTGAGGACATGGAGGTTCCTGTCAAACCGTCCAACCTTGCGATATCTCCTCGCCGCTTGCTCAAACTCTTGAGCATTGAAATAGGCCTCAGCGGCTTTAAGATCGTCTCCTGCTCGAACGTAGCAATCCGCTGAGTTACGATAGTACTGGAGCTTTTGATTTCCTGTCGCGGTCGCCCCACAATCAGTAAAGGCATCGGCAGCCACGTTGAAAGCTCTTTTTTGGTCGCAGAGTAAGGCCACTCCGACACTAGAACGTGCAACATCTCGCAGTTGATATGCTTCACAGACCTTCACTTCACGACGAAGGTTGGCACGTTCGAAGCAATGGATAGCCTGCGAGTAGCGCTTGTGCGAGAATAGTGAGCGCCCGAAGGATGCCCATTCTTCTGGAGTCGAGGAGACGGCTAGATGAGGGACATCTGTGCCGGGGGTACAATTCTGGACCTGATTGCGAGACGTCCAGAACAGCTGAAAAGTAATCAGATCGAGTTACACCAACATGATGCTCTAAATGTACACGCATCGGGTCTGATTTATTAGATTTGTCGACGATCCACAAGTTCTTCCTTGCTCGAGTGATTCCCACATAAAGAAGTTTGAGCTAATAAAAGTAAGCTGGAGTTTGTTTCAAGGATCGGTGCCTACCTCGCTACAAACCCCAGCGTATTGCACCTCGTCTCGATCGAAGTTTGGTACATATCTTTGACCATCTACCCCATCGAGAACTACGCGCCATCGTGACAGATCTACAGCAGAATCCTCGAAAAAGTTGTACAGCAGCACCTGACCGAAGTCAGACATCCATCAGGTAGCAAACTTGGCTTTCTTACATCATTGAATTCCAGGCCTTTGCTCTCATAAAGTGTCCTGCGTACATATGTGAACATAAAAACACAGAGTAAAGGTAGTCTTAACACAACTCACATAATCAGTCCAACTTCACCAACTTCGTCGCGTAACTTCTGACGTGCTGCATCGTCACGCACAAGAATGCCTAGATACCTTATCAGTGTATGAATGAAACCTCCAATCAATTACTTTACATTGCTCTGCCCCAAACTCAATGCGACCACGCCTGGAAGAATCCTCAGGAGGAAAGCAGGGTTATCATGCAGGACCACTTACCTCGTCCAAAACCAGAACTGTTCATGGCGAACGATGTTTTTATCCCAACCGGTAAAAAACACAGGCTTCAGCCCGTCAACCACCCCCTTTTCTGGCCGAAGATTATCGATTGTGTTGGGCCAAAATTCTGTGATGAGTTCGATCACAGAACTTGCGCAGTTGACGATTCCACCGTGCGATGTGTAGTTGATCGCCAATTGAAATATCGCAGGCTGACGAAGACATGCTCCAGCGGAATTGACCGAAATATCCTGCTGCTGCTTCAAGATATTAATTCAGGCCCGAGCTAAGTCGCTGTCTGCTGACCTCAACACGGTAGAGAAATGCTTTCAGATCATTAAACCTGAAGGAACTCCCTGCAGAGATTGTCTGGGCGGTGTCACCAGCCCAGAACAAACCGTTTGGGTTCCTGCATAATCGCTTCAAAACTACAACAGAAAGTTCTAAAGTGGTTTATGTTAACGAAGAATAGAGTAACTACTTACAGAGTGCATCGATCAGAAGGATGTCTTGTACGTCGTCGACATACCTAGTGCAGGTGGTCGGAAGCAGGATGCATTGGTGGAGATAACACGTACAGATAATCAATCTGTTGGCCAGGGATCATCTGGCTTTGCAAGACCTTGAGTATTGCATGCGTACTGTTTGGGCACATATTGTGACATTACGTGGGTGACAAGGTGTAATAGGTCGTACCGGTCTGCAGCATCATGATGACGTCGCTGCTTCTTGATTTTCGTATAACGCTCGAAGATGTCATACAGAATTCCCCTCTGGTTCGCAAAATTTGGGTAAGAACGATGAGAAAGACGAATGTAGTTTGGGCGATCGAGAACTCCTTCAGGACAGGTCGGTCCGTGCTCGGAGCCTTGAACGATCCCTGTAGGTATATCCATGAACTGTCAGTGTCAAGATGATACAAATTAGTACTCGCCCATGATCTCGCTGAAAACCAACCACGGGTCTGATGGGGTAGTGTCAATACTTCATTGTTATCACAAGAGAAAATGACACTACTGAGATTCTTGGTGAGATTCCACGGAAAATGAGGCCAGTATTGATTTGCGAATACATCATAGGTGACGAAGCAGTCATGCGCTTCAGCATTGTCAATATTGAAGAAAGATCCTGCACTCTCTCTCGTTTCGGAGACATCGTTACCTGAGATATCGATATCTGCCGCGATCATCTGTGCCAGCTACATAAACGATTAGCTTGGGAACTGTCCGGGCGATGGCTTGGGACGTACTCGATCGAAAGTCACAAAGAGGGGAAAGTGCTCATCCTCAAGTTTGCTGTATTTCATAGGTATATTCATCTGTGATTTGGACAGGTCGTCGAGATCAACAAGGCCTTCCTGAATACTTTGTGCCTTCATTTTGGCAAGTTCCTCCAGGGTATAGTCTGCTAACGCCAGAGATTCGAGAAACTTCGTAAAACACTCTTTCGCTCTTGTAGCGAGCACTCTGTATTTGGTGACGAAAATTTGGCGTGGCTTCGGCATGTCAACAGCACTCATTTCCCAAGCTCGCTGAATGCCGAGAATCTTAAATAGCATCGTCGTGGTTTTTCTAGTTGAGCGTGATTAACAAGCTACTCGTATCAGGGGCAGGACACTTACCCCGTGCCTCTGCGACCCAAGATGTAACATGACGTGGTACATTCGACAATCTTTTGTTCTTGAGGTCTGATCCAATATCGATCAGTAAATTCAGTTCATTGGGGCAGAACTTACGTGAGCATAAAGACGTGCTGTACATCTTGGTCTGCGATGAGACCTTTTGCAAAGATGAGAATAAGTGGCGAGTTAACTACATGATCACTCACTATGCAGGAACGCCTAAAAAGAGAGGTTACCGAGTCAATATTTGCGTGACCATAAACAGTATTTATAAACTTACTTGCGAGAATGTGAAATATTTCTCCAAACTAGAAAATTGTTAGATTGAAACCAATTTGTATAAGGATGGCAAAAATCCGTACACAAGCAAAGATTGAAGCTATGGCATGGATCAATGGCCGCACAAATGACAACTGAAAATACTCAACGTGGTCCATGTCCTCATCACTAAGATCAAGTGGGCTTGCTGAGAATTCTGGTTCATGTTCAGATAGTGGGAATGACGCAGGCAGAATCGTGCTCTCTTTAGACAAGACAGGCCTGTTCCGAAAGATACACCTGCGCAAGCAACAATTCACTGAATTGCATCAAGAGTCGAAAAATGCCCTCACCTGCTACGATATTCTCTGCCCTTGCGTGTGAGATAGCTACTCAAGGCATCCCATACTCTGTCAAGCTGAGCATCCATATAAATGCCATATATCTTGATTACTGGAGTTCATGTAAATGCTAATGGCGGACAGACGTAATTGCGCTTGATAGTTTACCTTGTCTTTCGGACTGTCAAGACTACAGCCTCAGTATCATGCTCGATGTTGATGTAAAACGACGTACCTTTCCATCTTGGTCAGGGACACAATCGATCTGGTACTGTTAGAAAAGGTCGGTTGTCGCAAGCTCTAAATGACGTATGTGACATTACACTTACTACTAATCGTAGGTCCTTTGTCATCTTGGCATCGTAGATGGGTATGCCTGCATCCGGCCTGTTGAGTAGCTTGTGATTATCATCTGAGAAATAGCCATTCGATAGTTGTCTGTGGAAACGATGAGATCATTGCAGTGAAATTCATCAGAAGACAGACTTGATCTGCTTGAAGATGATCTTGAATATATTCTTATCTGCTCTACGGAATTCACGCAATTTTTTGTAGGCCTGCGTAGATATGAGGATTCGCCACTCTCCGAACCCGTCCGCATTCTCAAAGTAAAGCACAGCCTTCATAAACTGCACCATTTGATACGCATTGGGTCGAGTTGTCGGGCTCTCGACATCCTCGGTTGACGAAACTTCAGGCGCAACATCTTTGGCAGACTCATCCACGTTTGGGAGAAGTAAGGCTTTAATGGCGCCTGCCAATTCCGTTCTCCGCAAAAGCGAGAGGTAGAACTTATGGAGAGCTGTCAGGGGAAATGTCAAAAAGCAGCGAATATACACACCAAGAGAGCATTTTTCAGCTTCGTAAGAATATGAGTAGACAATGATGCGGCAGCCTCGCTCGTGAGAGGCACAACCACATCAAGCCTCGGGAAGATAGATGCGTCGATAGACGTATGAGCTATCGGGAGATTACTCTCGCGTATTTTATGAGGGACTTTCTTCTTGACGAATCCATCATCAGATTTGTCAAAGAGATTGTTCTCATCTTCGAACGACCCTGCACCAGAAAATTTCATAGTGTTCAATCTGCAGAGTACATGTAAAGCGTCCTCGATGAAGCCTCTGTGGCGGCTGATGTCCCTAGCGACATCCATCGCTAGAGGCTCGTCTGGAAAAGCTAAAAAGTACATAGACAGATTGTCTAGCATCGTTCTTGCCACAGATGTTGGATATTCTTGAGATTTCCTTGGAAAGTCTGTCATGATCTGTGAGATCATTGCCTCACGGCGATCCCAAACTGTTAGAGAATCAGAGCTGATGACGCTTGAAGGAAGTTTGTGAGATACCAGAAATAATATATGCAAAAACATAGGGTGATGACGACATATGTTTGACTGTAGCTTGTAATGCGGTTGCCCCCGAACTTGAAATCGTGTCCAGATGGCGCAAGGCGGTTCTGAGGCCTGCCTCGTTGACTATTCGATCTCTGGAGAGTAGATCCAACATGGTCTGTTGAACAAGAGAAGCTTGTGATGATGACGTGGTTATATGAAAAGCTGTGGAACTTAGACTTGAGCTATGTCAATGGTACAAAGAACTTGGAGGACTCAGAAGTCCGAGTGCGAGTTTGCAACGAGGTTGTCCTTATATCGCCGAGCCGGCGCTCTGTCTGAATTTCCAAACAGGTTAAGGCGCAAATAGCACGCCCAAAATCGACACCTGCAGGCAACCTGAAGTCGTACATAGCGGTAAACTTGGACCCTCAAATGATCCCAAACCGTGACTGTGAGAAGTTGAACGTAGGTGTGGCGTTCGAGTCGACATTCCTGATATCCGATTCCTTATCGGGATATTTCCTACGCCATAGGGTACTGGCCCAGTACAATGGTAACTGAATTGTTGGCAAGTTATTTGTCACCCCTAAATACAGTAAAAACGAGCTTACTGGAATGCTGGCAGATTTGAATGCAGCAGCTGCTGCTATTGTAAGGTCATCCACCCATTTGACAAGAAGTACTGTCTCGGGAGACTCGTGATACTGATCCAAGTAGCCACCAAGCACATTGGTCACGGCATTGAGGCTAGGTCCGCGCTCCTTAAAAGAAATGGGACCTTTGTTACGCTGACCCATGCGCACTTCGAGTTCATGGTTCACTGCGCCGATGGGACCATAATCCTGGATCTTTTCATCATCCAAGGTGAAGAAATCGAAGCCATACTGTGGGATCGAAGGGTCTGCATAAGGAATGGTTTCGGGGAGATTTTGAAGATAAAGAGATAGTAACTGTAGCTTATTTCTCGTTTCACAATTCATGGTTGCGAATGTTTTCCATTTAATGGCCTAGCCAGTGTAGATATTTTGCAAGATTCACAGATTCACCACCACGGAGACGCCCGATTGGCAAACTCCAAATTCACCCAAATTTACACCCCCAAAATGCCCTTCGAGATTCACATGCTGATTAACGCTAATTGACAGGTGTAAATTTACGCCTGTAAATTTACACCCCTCTATTTGACCGTACACTAGTACTGGGCATTTACCAAGTTCAGCTGGTCTTCGAATTGATGGTCCAGCACGGGCTTGCCAAGTTCATGAAACCTACGGCAGCCAATCCGTGAGTGTGGAAGATCATTATCAGCATGATGCACTTCAGGTAAGTTCAGGCTATCTGTGTGTCTCCCAGACATGTCCTGACCTCATGTTTACTACTAGTATTAATTATCATGCAAATGTTGACAGAATACACTGCAGAATGTCATAACCCGTTCCTTCCCATGGTCGTCTAGAGTTAAATCGATACACACACCATGGTCGGGCAGACTGGCAGAATGTTCATTAACTGGTGATTGTTGAGGTCCACTCCCAGGATACAATTCTACGAAGATGAAGACTCGGGTGCAGCACCGCCGCAGTTGGAGATTTTGAGCATACCCAAAGTGAACGATCACAGTGGGGCAGATGCCATGAAGATCGAGTGGAGCTCCAAGCTCCGTGCAGCAACCTCCACTTTGGTCGAAACGACTCAGACTATAAGGTATTGCAGATCTCATTTCATTAACGAAGTTACTCTCTTTCAGATTTACAATGTACCGTACGCGCAGATGCTGTTTTCGCATTCTAAGACGGAGGATAATTCACACATTGATGTATCTATGCAGAAACCCTGAGGACGGGCCAATCATAATTGTATTATTTCACTATTTCACATCTTCACGAATCACGGTGCAGCCTCGTATCATGACAAATATTCTCTTGTCCTTGTCATCCTCGTGCACAACCGTACCAAATGCCTTCAACCACTCGTTATGACACTTAAAAGAACGGACGAACACTAACCAATGGGCTAATGCTTTTCACGCCTCAACAGCTTTCCGCATCCATGGCACTCATCTCTTACCATCAAGTGGTAGTATCAACTCCGCTGAATATATATACCCAATGGGTATAACTGTCGATTGCAGCAAGTCGAAAACGAATGTCAAGTCTGCGGAAGTACGGATCATCAAGCATTCGCCAAATCAGTGAAGCAGGAAAGAGGTTGCGACGGATGTTCTCTTCACCCATGTAAGTACTGGACCCCAACACATGTTTTTACCTGAGTTACTTTGTCTTAGAGAGCTTTCTCGCGGGAATTCATTTTCCCTGCATATATGGTACAACAAACGTTTTGGAACTAAGCACGAAGATATTACTTTCGATCCAGATGACGTGATCCGCGTGTATGATTCAAGATAAGGTGAAACAAGAATCAATGCATTGCTTTCTCGCCTTGATCGCTCGCGGGTTCCAACAAGGTTCATAACAACATCAGCGTCGTGGTCGAACTTTTCAGGACTACAACAACCGAAGTAAGGATCCATGCCTGGCATCAAGCCCGTCTAAATTCTAGCAGGCTGAGCAGTCTATCTCTTCCGATCAAAGCTTTGAGCCTACCACTTCCAAAATATTTCAGAAATGTCTTTGGTGGGTCATAAAGTGCCGTTCTCGAGGCTGATACTCCCAAGGTCCTGAATTCTAGTGATAGGAAAGGTATCTAGCTTTTTCCGATGTAAGGCCAGTGTTGACAACGCGTTTTTAATAGTCTGGCCTCGGCAAGTCATCATTGATCAGTCACACATTTGGAGTGGGAAAAGAGGTGGACCACGCTTCAACGAGTTCAGCTACTCATGCTGTCAATACATCTTTGCGCACAATAAGCTAGCAGGCGAGGCCAACATCGACAAGGAGCTCATCTCACCTCGGAACGAAAGGTTTGTTCTCCACGATAGCAAAGTACCTGCCTGCAACGCAATATAGTCCAGCGTTCAACTTTGTACGTTCTCCTTGCCCTGCATCTGTCACTACTGCTAACTTCCTACTGCCGTACTCTAGTGTTGTCTCCAGTTCTTGAAACCAGTTCTATCTACGACTAACAACATTTGTCTTGAACATTCGCTCTTCTTGACACGCTTTCATCTCTTCACTATCGCTTGGTGTATCTTGTATATGATTTTTAGACTATCTTTATTTATAGCGCGCTAGACGTAGCAATGGTATTGCACCATATGGCACGGATGTATCCTTCTATGTAGTTGTTGAATTTTATCAAGCACATATTGTGTTGTGCAATCACATGGCCGTTACAGACGCGGACATCAAATGGTATACAGAAGGAAGGAGGAGACCATCGAGCACAGTGAACGGTGGTGCTCGGGTGATGCACGCAATCAAGTTGGAAATCGTACTAATGACAGTGAACCAGTGAGTTGTTGGCGATTATGCAGAAGTACTAGTACAGAAATTATAACTACAGTCAACAGCGACGACAACAATAATGAACGAATGAAAGAACTCGAGGGTATGTAACAACATTCCCGGACGTGAAGGTATTGTATTCCAAACCCAAATATTCTAGGAGGCTCCTGTGACACACGACGCAGTAGCCGTTCTCAAAGATCTAAGATGCCTGTTGACTTGAGACCAACAACCATTTAGGTTGTGAACTCCGCCGACACAAGGGAACCAGGCGGAAATGATGCGGGCGATAGTTTCAGCATCTGTTAGAGACTCGGATAAGTCCAAATCCAATGATTCTAGGGAGGTATGCTGTATCGGCTCGGCATCAGGATCGATGTCGATAGTTGCAATCTTGATTGGAACTTGTAGTGTATCCAATTGTGGACATAGACCGATCGCTGTGAGTAATCCACGGAGGGAGACTTCGGAAGAAAGATCAGATTCTTCGATTTCCAGAGTGCGGATGTGCGGCCAACTAGACATAGCTTGCAAGAGCATGTCTTTGTCCAGGTAGATGCAGAAACCATAAAACATGAGCTTCAGGGTTCGGAGCCGTGTAAAGCAAAGGAAATGCGGAATTGGTGTCAAAGACTCGTCGTATTGGCTTCCCGCGAATTTGCGTTCAAGAGAACAGATGGTGATTTCTTCTAGAGTCCGACACGCTTTGCAGTGGGACAGAGCATGAAAGAGTTGCTCGGCTTCTTCTGAGGACAGACGGTTGGCTTCAAACTCGAACTCTTTCAGCGAGGGAAATTGGGAGTGTTGCATGACTGTGATGATGTCTCCGGCATCGTAGAGCTCTTGAAAGGAAAGTCGTGTGATGTTAAGGAATGATAAATTCACGATATCTTGTTTTGGCAGCGAAGGATGGTCATTATACCCTTGATCAATCTCCAATTTGCGAAGGGTAGGGAGGTGGGAGAGGTGTTTCCATGCTGCCAAGTCGAGCATTGGACAAGAAAGAGTTACAAGCCGCGTGCACCACCGAATCCTATCGGATAGGAGGGACAGTTCATCTGCTGCCGGTGTGCTGCCATCACCATCGCTTAAAGGAGTGTAGATGCGTAAATGCTCCAGAGCAATGTAACGTGTCACAAAAGATTGCAGACTCTCGTCGACGCCCAATAGCTGACATCGATGCAGCATGCGAGACAGAAAAAAGTTCAAATATGTGGTGGAAAGACTTAATGACTTCAGCCTCGGAAATATGCATGCCTCAGCGGGGATGACAGAGAGAAGGTGCGGATGTTGACATTGTATTTCTAATGTGCGTATACGGGAGGAGTGACGCATAAATTGACGGGCCTCATGGGCAGATAATGGCTCGATGCCTTTCGCCCTGCGCTCGACCCGCTATTATGTAGACGCTCGGTGAGCCGAAAAGAAACAAACAAAGCGTGATAGAGTTGTGCACTGACCCTTTTACCCCTACGATATATCAGTGGATGTAGCCTTGTTACACAGCCTAGCAATGGTTCTAACCCATGGATTTCGGTCCACAGCAAATCCATCGCAGGCTCATGGAAGATTTTGCATGTCCTTGCAAGCGCTGCAAGCGATTGCTGAGTCGATGTTGTTTCAGTAAATGGTATTGTGTTCACACAAGCGAATATCTCCAGGAGGACTTCGGGAACAAGTAAAGCCTGATGCATCACTAGAGTACGGTAGGGTCAAGGCTCAAAACTAGGTTTGATGTAAATCCAAAAACATATTGCCTACGCCAACCTGCAAATTTGAATCACGTGATGCTTCTGTTGATCATGAATCATGACGAACGTTTATTTGCACACACCAACTTAGTACTTGTCCATATATAGCCCTGTGTTTTGCTTCACCCGCTCCCTTTCACGTTCTTACTCTGCTACCTGAGACTCGTAAATGGACCAAGGGCCAACTGGAGACAGAAACGTCGAGCTCGACGCACCTGGATGTAGACGTCAGTGATAACGGGTGAGTAGACGTAGTTTGTTGCAGAGCTCCTGACTCATGTGACAAATTTTCTAACGAATCCAGAAGTCTGGTTGACCTTACCGTCAAGGTTGTCAAGGAATCGACTCATGCTATTGCTCAGGGCAGTTTCGGTGACGTTTGGAAATGCATATTCTCAGAAAAAGATATTCGTGTAGAGGTTGGTATAAGTTTTGTAGTAAATTCTGACAGCTGATGATAAGTTTCAAGGTGGCATTTAAATGTGTAAGAATCGAAATTCCGGATGGCCGTTTCAAGGATATCGTCAGGAAGGTGTGTCAATATGATGTAGAACTATGAAAATATTTGCAGAGGTTGACGGTCGACTTCTGCAAGTGGAAACCGCTGCGCTATGATCACATTTTTCCCTTGTGCGGGATCACCTACGTATTTGGTCCAGTACCAGCTATCGTATCTCCATCGATGCCCAGCGGATCCTTAAGCACATATCTTGATGAATACTATGACGGTCTCTCTGGGCCCCACAAATTCGGTTTGGTGAGTCTTCCCCGACGATATAGCTACACCACAACTCATGGAGGTCGTAACAGCTTACTAAAGTAGCTACTGGTCTTCAATATCGTATGCTGTCATTGTGTTGTGTGATCACATGGCCGTTACAGACGCGGATATCAAAAGGACCGAACCAGAGGGTTGTTGTTGGCGATGATGCAGAAGTACTAGTACAGCAGTTATCGACAGCGATAACGAAAGAACGAAAGAAGTCAAAGGTCTGTAACAACATTCCCGGACGTGAAGATATTCCAAACTCAAATATTCTAGGAGGCTCTCACGACATACGACGCAGCAGCCGCTCTCAAAGATCCAAGACGCATGTTGACTTCATCCCAACTCAAACCCGGGCCATATATGTGGTCGACACAAGGGAGCCAGGCGGAAATGATGCGAGCGAGAGTTTCAGCATCTGCCATTTGAGACTCGGGTGTATTCAAAAGTTGTAATGTTCGTAGGGAGGTATGTTGTATTGGTTCAGCATCAGGATCAACGTCGATAGTTGGAATATTAATTGAAACTCGTAGTGTATGCAATTGTGGACATAGACCGAGCGCTGTGAATAATCCATGGAGGGTGACTTTGGAAGAAAGAGCAGAGTCGTTGATTTCCAGAGTATGGATGTGCGGCCAACTAGACATAGCTTGCAAGAGCATGTCATTGTCTAGGTAGATGCAGGAATAACGAAACATGAGCTGCAAGGTTCGGAGCTGTGTAAAGCAAAGGAAATGCGGAATTGGTGTCAAAGACTCGTCGTTGTAGGGTCTCGCGAATTTGTCATCAAAAGAACAAATGGTGATTTTTTGTAGAGTCCGATACGCTTTGCAGTGGGATAGAGCATGAAAGAGTTGCTCGGCCTCTTCTAAAGAGAGATGGCTGGCTTCAAACTCGAACTCTTTCAGCGAGGGAAACTGCGAGTGTTGTATGACTGTGATGATGTCTGTGGCACCGTACAGCCGTCGAAAGGAAAGAGTTGTGATGTTAAGGAATGGTGATAAATTCACGATATCTTGTTTTGACAGCGAAGGACGACTATCATACCCTTGATCAACTTCCAAATTGAGAAGAGTAGGGAGGCAGGAGAGGTGCTTCCATGTTGCCCAGTCGAGCATTGGACAAGCAAGAGTGACAAGCCGCGTGCACCAACGAATCCTATCGGATAGCAGGGACAGCTGACTTATGTTGTCACAATAGAGTGTGTCAGTGGAGATGTACAAATGCTCCAAAGCAATCCAATGTGTCACAAAGGATTGCGGACCCTCGTCGACGGTCAATAGATAACATTGGTGCAGCGTCTGAGGCAGAAAGAGGTTCAAATATGCGATGGAAAGACTTAACGACCTCAGCCTCGGAAACACGCATGCCTCGGCGGGAATGACAGAGATAAGTTGAGGATGGGTCCTTTTTATGTTCAATGTGCGTATACGGGAGGAGTGACGCAAAAATTGACGGGCCTCATGAGCAGATAATGGCTCGACACCTTTCGCCCAGGGCTCGTCCCACTATTATGTAGACGCTTCAAGGTGAGCCGAAAAGAAATGAACTAAGCGTAATGAGGTCGTGCACTGACCCTTGTACCCCTACGATATATCAGTGGATGTAACCTTGTTACACAGCCTAGCAGTGGTTCTAACCCATGGATTTCGGTCCACAGTAAATCCATCGCAGGCTCATGGAAGATTTTGCATGTCCTTGCAAGCGCTGCAAGTGATTTCGAAGTCGATGTTGTTTGAGTAGATGGTATTGTATTCACATAGGCGAATATCTCTAGGAGGACTTCGGGAACAAGTAAAGCCTGATGCATTACTGGAGTACGGTAGAGTCAGGACTCAAAACTAGGTTTCATGTCAATCTAAAAACATTGCGTGCGTAATGGGTGTTGTTACGTGCTATTTTACAAAATTCCAGTCGATTTGGGCTAAGTATGGATACGGTTTATTGCCAAATATGCAGTACTCCTTCCTTCTCTTTTTCCCTTCTTTTCCCAATGGACTAAATAGGAGTTTGCTACAGAGAATGGTGAAAAAGAATATCTGTGTCCTACTCAACCTCGTGATCAAAAACATCTCGCAAGTCCGACGCGTGAACTAAATGCATCCCTACAGCAGACGCTGTTTTTGAGCGCTCACCATATCCGTATGTTTCTAAACTCTCAAAGTAGCTGGCTCTGACACGTTTCACAATGATTAATATGCCATGTACGACCTGGTGGTCATTCCAGGTCTACAAATCCTTGACACCTTTGACTCCCCGAACATATCTCCCTCACTCATGTTTTGCTCTATCCCAGTGCGCGTTTCTCTCTGGGTGGTATGCACCTTCTGGAAGGGCCGCTTTGCTGCTGGTCTTTGCTCACCATCCACGAGTGCGGTCACCAATAGTTCAAATTAATCAACAACACTGTTGGCTGGGTGCGTGCCTCTTCCGCAATGCATCTGGTCAGAGGCCTTACCTTGACAACGACAACCGTAAGTGTTGTTCCGTGTTCAAAAGAGGGTAGCTTGATGTTTTGTTTGCAGATCTCAACCCTGATGCTGCGTTGCAATGTAACACCCCCCAAGTATATGGCTGTCTTAAGACTTATTCAGTGCCACACAGGACACGGCTTCATTGAAGAATACTAACAGCCAATCCATCATTGCATCTAGCTGAAACGTTTGATTGAAAGCGGCCTGGTTTAGACCTGTAGTCAGCCTGTAGTCAGCTTGTAGTTCCGAAGACTCACACATACACAAGCATCAGAGAATCCATAGCTACTTTCAATGATATTCGAAGGCTTGGATTTTTCAGAGGAGTTGTAGCTGATCTGAACTTTCTGAAGGACAATCTCCATGGGATACAAAGGACATGTAGGTCATCTGAATCTAAGACTGATGACTCGGAGTTACTGGTCTGAAGAATCCTGGGAACAGTCGTCAGTAGCATTTAGAAATGGAGAAAGCATTTCATACTAAGGACCGTTGGATCAGATCATCGATCAACAATTGTGAGTTGTACCAGACGACAAGAATACGGCGCAGAACTACACGTCTATGTGAATGAAAACCGTCCTCTGCTCGCGCGGCATTTTCGTCTTCACAGCGTGAGCCCAGGCTACCTTCGTACAGTCCATGGCACTACCATTCTTCGAACCCTTGAACACGTTCTCGTAAAAGGCTTTGACGATGAGTTTTGCGATTGCGTCATCGACTACCCAGAAGGTGCCTGAACCACCAGAACGGTAGACCTGCTGCGAGATCAATGCCCTCGTCAGGGGTCCGCTTATTGCCGTGACACCTGAGCGCTTCGTTCACGCAGCCATGAAACTGTGTGAACGAACAACTGCCCAATTTCCTCAACTCCCAACTGACACCCACTGATTTCTGGTCATTGCGCACTGGGCTCGTCGAAAAGTGCTTCCCGTGAGTGATACCCTAAGTTCTTCTGCCGGTTAAAGCTGACGACTCGCTTACCAGAGACTTCAAATACCCACGAAGATTTGTTGCATCTTATCGGATTTAGCAGGACCTGGAATTGTCGTCCAAAGCTGTTTTGTGGGGAAGGATTGGATATTGAATTTTGTAAGTAGACGATCTCGCGAGTAATGGCTTGTGTGGTTCTAACGGGCATTAAATTGGAAGGAGAAGGGCCCTGGACTCACCAACAATCATTGCCATTGGATTCCAAGATCCCTGCAGACTTCTCTCGCATACACGATCTACCATATTCGATCACCTAAGCGCCGACCATGTCGTCATCCACCAGTAAGACGGCAGTGGTCACACCACGCCACACGATGCAAGGTCATGCAAGACAGGTCAACAGTGCTGTGCACTTGCCTGACGGACGACACATCATCACATGTTCGTCGGACGGCTCACTCCGACTATGGGACCTAGAGAGTGGAGCACAGATAGGCGAGGACTGGCGAGACGAAGATAATGTAGTATTTCGATCCATGGCATTGTCTCCAAACGGCAAGACGATTGCAAGCGGAGACTATGACGGGAAAGTGAGGTTGTGGGATGTCGAGATGAGGAAGGTCATTGCCAGATGGACAGGACACGCCCATACTGTGCAATCATTGTGCTGGAGTGCAGATGATAAACAAGTGGCAAGCGGATCCTGGGATGGGACGGCAAGAGTCTGGGATGTCAAGAAGGGCAAAACCGTCCTGAAAATCGAAACCAGTCACGCCCGGGTGAATACGGTGATGTACTCGCCTGACTCATCAAAACTCGCCACGGGGGGGTATGAGGAGAACGCTGTGAAAATCTGGGACACGAAAACGGGAAAGCGTCTCAAAACACTCAAACACTCAAACACAGTTCGCAGCTTGGCATGGACGTCCTTGGATGGAAATGGCAAACTCATCTCCGATTCATATGATCAGATTAGGATATACGACACCGCCACTTGGGAGCAAATCGCTATCCTTGAAGGTCACACAAAGCATGTCACCGCCCTCTCCTTGTCTCAGAACAATCGCCTCCTTGCAAGTGCATCTTATGATAAAACAGCACGTTTATGGAATGTTGACACCAACCTCCCAGTTGGACCACCCCTCCAGCATGAAAACGTTTTGTGGTCCGTAGCTCTTTCCCCTGATGCCAAGGTGCTAGTTACTGCCGAGGACACAACCGCGTACACTTGGGACGTTCACGCCATCCTCAAAGAAGCTGGCCTTGAGGACATACTTTCCATTGGTTCCAATATTGTCACGGTAGGTGTCAACAACTTGAGTCAACATATCCATATCACCTGCTCTCTCTGACAATGTCTGTTGTTAGGCACCAGAGGAAAGACAGGAACAGGAACAGACGCCACCTCAAGATGATGATTCAGGACCCCGCTCTTCGCTCAGTGACAGGTCATTTTTGGAAGTACGTACCGAGTTTGCAATCTCTCTCATTCATTCATCACTGAAACCCAACATCCCCGATCAACCTTTTTATACACATTATAATGTAAATAATAATCATAATTGGCTAACATGTGACAGTGCATGTTATATCGTAATTTATGCCATTAGAACGCTATCCTACATGACCAACAACCATCACACGGACCTATATTTGGCCGCGGTTGCACAAATATGATTGTGAATACACTGAATCTGACTGACGAGCATGGTTAATAGATCTACACTATGCAGTGTGTAGACTGTAGCATATTTTGGCTATTTGTGTCTCATGTCTTTGAAAGTGCGTCTGATTGGTGATCTATACGATAAATAGACAAAAGCCCAAGATCAGTACGTCGTATAAAGTCGTTTATGCAATTCTAATGCTATCCTGTATGATCAGGGAAAATCATGCATGTTGAAGTTCAGCATCACAGCCCAGTTGCTGGTTGCGCAACATATTCACGAACATTCAATTGACGACCAATGCATATCATTGCGTGACAGAAGTGTGAGGTGATTACTAATTGCTCATATTTTCCACATCAACCTTGGTGTTTGGCATGGGGATGTGAGTAAAATGTGCTTCAATATTTATCGCCCTACCCCAACCTGATAACTCATGAGACTTAAGCGCCTGATTGTCATCGATGGCTCTGTATTATCTGTGTGAAAAAGTAGGTAAAGTGATCCTTTGCCTACACGAATGAAAAATATGAAACAAAGGGTCTGTTGTATGACATTTCTAGCACACAGGGCGTTGTTTCACAAAAGTAAAATAACTATAGTGTCTTGCCACCTGTAACTTAGATGTGTAACTTCCTCACAAGAGCAACGCAGGTTTGATCTCTCATTAAGAACAATATTTGGAGACATTGCGAATGAACCGCTGTTCGGCACTGCATTGCCAATTTTATATTTCTCAGCGCTCGTTTGTCACAAAAGTAAAATAACTATGGTGTCTTGCCACCTGTAACTTAGATGTGTAATTGCCTCACAAAAGCAACACAGGTTTGATCTCTCAATAAGAACAATATTTGGAGACATTGCAAATGAACCGCTGTTAGGCACTGCGTTGCCAATTTTATATTTCTCGGCGCTCGGTTGTCATTTGCATGAATTGCTCGGCTGCATTACATTATTTACATATCAATGGCAGTATTATACAACAAGGATCTCGATGCTACGATTTGTAAAATAGTGTACATACAGCTATCTATGCATGCAACCTGCAAACTCTGAGCTAACATCTGCCTGAACACTGAGCAACAGATAGCTGTTGGACTCGTTGGGGACGACAGGCAGATACATGTTTGCGTCCAAAAACCCTGCTAATGTTATAGTATAATGAGACCAAGGTCAAATAATTACAGCCGCATGATAACGCACCGGTTCCACCAAAGTAGTAGGTCGTCGACTTCCTTGGATGCATCTGGTGTCATGGGAAGCTCGAGGAAGTCGACAATGTTATCGTAGAACTCTTGATTGTTGAACTCGTCATCGATAACTCGCCACGATCCCGTACTGGACAAGGCGAACCTGAGCTGAGTTGGCCGGCAATGTCAGGCTGGAGCATGGATAAAGAGCGATCCATCATACTCACCTGTACAGCTGTATATGCGATTGAGCGTGGTTGTACTGACTTCATGTTCAACAGTGCCGCAACATTGCAGCGGGTGCGACGCTCGCCAGAAGTCCTCCGTTGCTTTGGGTGGCCTTGTGTGGAAATATTATCCGGGCTAAGCTCCTCCTGATCTTCCGTCTCCGCAGAAGTAGGAGATGTGAAAATATATTTGAATGTCTGTAAGCGACCTCAGTAGATGAATATTCATCTTCACGACACGTACCTTTAAAAGCAGCTTGCCTTTAAACAGGCCATCCGTAGGGTTTTGTGGATCGTATTGTTCATCCTTGTACAAGAAAGCTGGCCAAGAGTAAGCTGTGACGCGATAGTCTGGGTGGTAGTCCCTAATGTGCTGTCGGACACTACTGCATGCGTCAGCAAAGATGTTGCAAAACAGATGAAATCTTACACTAAGTCATTCCAATCGTAATCGACTGGACAGATGAGCCGTCCAGTCGCATCGTTATTTAATCCGCGACCCAGTTTGTCCTGCCCGTGAATGACGGGGCTTGGTGATGGGGTAAGTTGCATCAACCAAGATGCAACGGTGACTTTAAGCCGTGTCGTATCGTCAGCCCTGGCTCCATCGGCACCTTTATTCAGCTAAATAGTGCCTCAATTAGCCTCGTTGTGAAGCAGTGTCCGACACCTACCTTGCTGTATATGTGACAGAGCTCGCCATTTTCAGCCACTGAGGTTAGAAGTTTACGAACGGATGGACACCAAGTCGCCAACTTCTTATATGATCTGTACCTCCGATCGTCTCTAGTGAAGATAATTAATGCAAGCCACTGGTGACACCAAAGGACCTACTCAGTATTATTTGAGCTAGTATCGTCAGTATCTGATTCCAACCCCGAGGTGACACATCGATTGAACTCTGCAATGAGATCTTCGACGCGTTCTGTGAGGCAAACAAGTCTCCGAATTAGCCGGCCCTCGGTATTATGAGGTTCACTATGCAATGAAATAGCTCTTCAAGGGGTGCTGAAATACTGGATGATCGCAAACTCACTTTCTCTCCGCCACAGGCTGTTTGCGAAGTTTGGCGTTTTGGGCCTCTAAGACGGCCAGCCGCCTTTTCAAGGAAGCCACTTGAGAAGGTGGGTCATTGTCAGTGGAGCTACCTTGCGACATCTGGAGTGGAATTTGGGTAGGAACAGAACGTGTGAAGGTGCGAGAGTACCAGCCTGACTGAAATACTACAGGGATCATCAAACACTTTGATCCGAATCATGCAGAAATTGACCTACTAACCGCATATGGGCAGGCCAATGGGGGTTGAAGCGCTGACAGTTATCGGTAGATCAGGTAATCCCAAAGTGGCTGCTCGTCCCGGATCTATGTCATAGGTCATGGTGGCAAACCGTCGACTGTAGTCCCTGCCGGGCTATTAGTATTGTATGACGTAACCAGTTTGTAATATACCCACGCCAGTCTTCGTATGAACACTCGCTGATACTGGCAAATCGCCTGTTCTCGATCTTCGTCGGACTGTCTACTATGTGCCAAACTACATTCTTGGCATGAAGTGTCACGGTACGGCATGAATCATTGATCTGTTGATGGAACGCCTGACCTCCAATAGGAATGGTGTTTTAGCTAAAGTCATCTCCGCTGCCCACTGGTGCCGAGCCTCGGGTGTTTAAGTTCTATTGGAGTTCTATGCAATGTAGGAAGTTGCAAGTTCCGAACCTTCTGACCCTGACACTTTTTTTTTGTTTATTCAAGTTGTCCGATACCTCCTCTTGGAGTCACCGTGACGTACCATAATGACTTGGATCAGATGTGCCGGTGACTCGGCCGGCGAACTGTAACACAGTTGCTGTAAGTACGTTCCATTGACCTATTGTGTCAAACTCCCTCTCACATACACGTTGAAGCTTTAGTGTATGGCCCTCTTCAATGGTGTACACTACGCCCTTTCATCTTCAATACAACCGGGACGACACAAGGAACTCTCAGCCTTGCTAGATCTTCACGGTGCAACGAGCGCACCACCACCCACTCATATTATTGCACTTGCTGGATCGCACATTCAGGGTGAATACGAAGGATCTCTGCATGTAGTGTCAGACATGTGGGTACAACGGTGCGTAGTCCTTGGAAAACGTCAACCGTGAGTCTCCTCTACCTTTCACTTCAGTACGAAGGCATTGATGGTCAATATGTCAGCGAGCGGTACTATTCACCTGATCCAATCATGATTTTTTCAGGTGTTGTTGCATGCGCCACTGATGTGAGTGAATTGTCCTTGATCACATTATATGATATTGATGTTGATTACAAGCTCTCCCAATGGGACCTTGAAGTTCTGTCAGCCGGCATCACCTCATTAGGAGGGCAGTGGCGAACAGCCCTTACTCGAGATGTGACCCATCTCTTCGCATTGCATAAGCAGAGCAATAAGGTACTCACTCTCTTGTTTCATTGACTATGGGACCATTGTTCACTGCGCTAACCCTCATGGCGTAGTACCAAACTGCAATGTATTTTGCACCATATACCGGCATGTCCATCCTTACACCACATTGGTTCGACGATTCAGTCCAACTTGGGTGTTGTGTCCCTGAGATTCCTTATTTATGGCCCGATCCTGAGGTCTTGGCTCGGTGACATAGTAGTGTACTATAGGTTACGATGGGCTATGATTGCAGAGTTGAAGGGGACACTATCCGGTAGTAACGAATGAGTATCTGACCTTGTAGAATACCTATAAAATATTACAGCTTTGATTTTCGCTGCTTGATTGAATGATCGAAACATACCAGATTCTAGTCCTGTTCACCGTGACGTACTACCATTTACAGAAAAACATAAGCAGCCTACCTATCCTGTACCACAGTTTCTGCATACTCATCATCTTTTGAAGCATGCCCGCGCTAAGTGCGTGATATGATTTTCAGACTTAAATTGCATACAATACTAGAAATACATGTACAGTATGATTTCAAATTGTGAAACTGCGATCCTTTGAAGCTCCAATGATTCAGATAGACGTCACGAGCATATGTATAAGTACAATGTTACACAATTCAGTAATTTACTGTAGAAGCTGATGATCAATGTACGTGCAAAGGTAATGAAGCGAATGCATACCATTCAAGAGGAAGAGCCTCTGACAGGTTATTTTGCTTTCTTATTTCGTGCATTGAGAGGACCAGTGTTGAGACGGTGGCGCTTGAAGGGATTGATTGGCATGGCTGCAGGTGGAGACAGGACGGTGAGTTGTCGTAAAATAGCATTGAAAACATCACGTTTTGCATTCTTGACTCGATGATGAAAAAACGCCATGTGCACTTCAACAAGTGCGCCCTTAAGTTTTGACTCGTATTCAAGTGGTGGGATGAGGCTATGATCCGTGTCGTATGCTGGTAGGGGGCAAACATTGTGGGTAGATCTGAGGTCTTGCAAATGTCCTTTGCATCGGTCAGCCACTGGCCAAGTGGCAATGTCGAAGTCTGAGCTTAAGCTGTCTGTAGTTGCGAACGTAAAACAATTAGTATAATGATGGATGCCAAAAAAATATTTGTAGCTTACTGGTTGAGCAGTCGTCATCTTCGTCACTGGCAGTATCATATTTATCCTGATTCTTGGCCTGATATGTGATATTCAACTGTTAGGGAAAGGAAATAGATGACGGCTACTGACCTCAAATAGACCATGTATCAGTCTGATTGATCTTTGACCGAGTGAGACATGAACAGCGCTGAGCTTCTCGTAATCCCTCTCCCTTGGAATTAATCCCTCAAAGTGAGCAATATTGTCAAGGACATCCGGGAAGTCTTCTGAAGAGAATCGGAACATGTCGTTACGACCAGCAGTAAGCCGACAGCTCAATTTTACGTCTGAAAAGCGACCATGAAAGACGTTTGATGGATTGAAATTGGCATCCGGGGTGAAATTGAAGTCATTGCGACTGATCTCGAATACACCACGAATGATGAATTCTTTAGCTTGGGGTCCTCCCTTGGCGACGAGAATGTTGCCATCCTGTCCTCCTATGAAATATTCAACATGCCGAATCAGTCTCGGTGAAGCGGCATAGAATCCGAATCCTTCGGAGGAATCGTGTAGTTCTCGGAGTATGGATGCAGGAGTACGAGTAGAGAATGACTTGGACTTGGCGGATGCATTCTTGGTCAGACTCGAAGCCATGGCTTGTGACCTGGATACGATGTGGCCTGGTAGAGTCTTGTTAGGTTTTAAAAATCATGCTCCGTGCAGGGATACAATGCAGCCTAGTTAGAAGAAATCAAAATCATGCTCCGTGCAGGGATACAAACATTGAAAATGGCGGAACGGAAGTAGTATCCCCAGTGAAGGTAAAGCTTGCGAGACATGTAGTACGTTGTAGTGGTCATGGGATCTAGTATACGTAACGACTCATCTGCAAAATTATCGGCAACTGCATTGAGGATAGTAAAACTGGAATCGATCATGACACAGTCTACAGTGCAGGCCAGGTGACCCTCAGGCTAGTACGAGTTTAGTAGTTGGCATCAGAGTGAAGCGGCGGTACTGAAAATGAGACAAAGGTCACAGAATGTTCTGAGTTTTGAAACGGCCCAGGCACAAGCCATACCTCATGGAGTACTGCCCCTGTAAGGTCCGGGGAGTACGATTCAAATACACCTGCTTTCAAAGAAGGATTCCAGCCATGAACATGTCGACATTTGATTCCCACCCCTCCGAGTCGGATTTTAATGATGCAGTTGGCGAGGCGCTCTTGATGACTCGGAATTCTGGCAGCATTACTCCGTCAAGCCATGCCGAGAACTGCAAGGAGGGAGCAGGATTTGGGCAAGGTTGCCCTACCTATTCTTGTGGATGTTATGACTACCGTAAATTGCCACGTTATCAGGCTGGAGCTACAGACCTACTAGACAAGGCCTCTGACTTAGATGCTGCGGACAAGGACTCGAAGGCATCCAAACTCAAACTGGTATGTGATCAGATCAAACATATATACTAGTTCGTCTTATCACACTCATTTGTAGGATATTGATATTTGGAAATCTCAGTGTTCAAATCAGCTGCTGCTTACTCCGACTCACTGGAAGAGAAAGCACGCTGGGTCTGACGTCATTGAAGGACACACTCAGGCTGTCACAGTAAGTCATATTTCTTAGTCCTCCAATACTGACAAGTTACAACTTGAACTGACTGTATACAGCCTCAGCGTTACTTTGGCCATGATATTTTGAATGGTCCCGGTGGACTAGGACGAAAGCAGTGAGGGGAGAGCTCTATGATGCGTGATGATGTGTTACACTATGAACAGAGTTTGGCTATGTGCGCGTGTCGCTGACTAAGCTATGGCTATCGCCGAAGGACCAACTGCCTCTTGTCTATGTCTCTTCCTTTGGTCTATGCCTTGGGACCCCCGGTCCATGCACCCCCCTAAAAAACAACCAACGCCATCCTCGGCGTTCTTCCTACTATCACTTCTATTGTCCTATTCGTTCTCTTCTTCATCCGCTTCGTCTCTTGTCTGGTCGTTCTCTTCTTCTTCATGTCCCTTCTGTTTCTCTGATTCTTTCTCCGTTCTATCTTCTGTATCTGCTTCCGTGTCGTCGTCTCCTCTCTCTCTGATTCTGCGTTCATGCTCTTCTTGTTCTCTTGCTAACTTCGTTCCCGTTCTCGGGGTGAATGCTCTGAGTCGTCTTGCACTAAACTCTCCTTGAACTGGGATTCCGTTCAGCGCTTCAAGCTTGTACGAGTTTAGGATCTTCTCTCGTATACGCCTTGGGATTGACCATTTTGGTATGAGCTTTCATTCCGCTTTGAACGTATAATCTAAATCATTGCGATATACTTGAACTAGTTGTCCGATTCGAAATATAACCTCACCTGGCGCTCGTTGTAGCAACTTTTTATCAAATGCTGCCTTCCTCTTGATCGCATGTCGCACTACTTCATCGTATCCGTCCAACCGTTGTTGTTCGACGTATGCTATTTGAGTTAGTGGGTCTGAAGTGCGTGTCGCTGACGCGCTTTCTTCTACATTCGTCTTCGGTGTGTTGACTACTAATCCTAAAAGAAGTTCCTTTGGAGAAAATTTCAGCGCTGGCAATAATCGATAGTTAAGAGCGTGCACCGCATCCTCCAGATGGTCTGGCCACGATTGTGTCAAGCCGCTTTCTGTCGTTTTTTGTCCTTGACTTTGATCTTCTCCTAAACTTGGTGCGCATAAGCATTTTAAAACGTGTAGTAAAAGCTTATTTGTTCCTTCTACAAGGCCGTTGATCCACGGGGAGTACGCCGCTACGATGTGTACTTTGCATTTCTTCGATTCGCAGAAGTCCTTCACTGCTTCGTTGTTGAAGTGCTTGCCACCGTCCGCCATGAATGTTTCTGGTGTTGTGAATGCGTTGAAGATGTTCTTGAGTCCTTCAATCGTCGTTTTTGCACTACCTGATGTTTTATATTTAAACACCCAGATATGCTGCGAAAACGTGTCCAAGTACACACCGAGCGTATTGTATCCTCCTTTCTCTTTCGGGAGGGTGAGATAGTCTCCAACTAACAGTTCGAATGGGTGCCGCCTGGTTATTGGCTCTAGTAGCGAATTTATGTGCGTCGGTCCGAAGTTCTTGCATTTTGCGCAGTCTTTGATGGCATCTAGGATTGACGTGTCTAGCTTGGGGCTGCATATTCGGTCCAGTAATGCGATTTTGATCGCATCTCGTCCCCAGTGGCCTCCTTCTGCATGCTCTTGTGCTGCTAGTACCTTGGCTTCTCCTCTCGAGACACATTCTACTCTTGTCCTGGCTCTCGTCGTTGTGCCACCTCGTAGCTTCCAGAGCCTCCCTTCTTCTATAACGTACTGTTCTGCTCTGTGTCTTGCTCGCCGTTTCTCTCTGATCTCCGTGGCTTGATCTAGGTTACATATAGCTTCTACGACTTCCTTGAATACTGGCTCGTTCTCGAATCGTGTGCAAAGCTTGTCTACTTGTGCGTCCACCGTCGTAACGTTCATGATGTCGTTAATTAGTCCTATCCTTGCTTCCCAGTCTTCGCTTACTGTCCACTCGTTTCCGTCTCCTGCTACTGGAGCGGTGTTTTCCCATTTTCTGCTAAGGCCATCAGCAATGACATTCAGCTTTCCTGGTACGTGCCTTATGTCCACTATATGATATGCTAATATTCCCTCTCTCCATCTTGCGTGTACTACGTTCAGATGCGGATTCAGCAGCGTGTCTCTCATCGCCCTGCAGTCTGTTTCAATCTCGACCAGAAATCCCCAGATGATGCTCGAGAATTTATCCAACCCGAATTTGAGCGCTGCGAATTCTAGTAAGTACGATTTGTACTTCTTTTCTGTCGCTGATGTCCGTTTTGATGCGAAGCCTAGAGGATATAGACGTTCGACCCATTTCCCTGCTGATGTTCGCGTCTTGATTCTCTGTGCTAGGACCGCTGCGAAGCCTTCTATACATCCGTCCGATGTCACTATGAAGTGTGACCCATCGTATCTTGGTGCGTGTAATACTGGTCTTGATGTAATCGCCGTTTTTAGATCTAAAAATGCTTTAGTATGTTCCTGCGTCCAAATAGTACTTAACTTGAAGCCGCTCATGGCTCGTCGATACGCTGTTTTGGACATTGTGCTGTCTATGGGTGCTTGCAGTAGTAAATCTCTTAGTGGGCCTTCTCTTTTCGCGTATGCATTGATTAATGTTCTGTAGAATCCTGTTAGTCCTAAAAACGAGGCTAAGTTCTGTGCGTCTTCGGGTTGTCGCCAGTCTACAATGGCTGTCAGCTTTGTTAGATCTGGTTTCACTCCTTCTCTTCCTATCGTTCCTCCTGCGAACTCGGTCTCTGACATGCAAAGCTTTGTCTTGCTCGGAGCTATTGAAAATCGACATTCTCGAAAACGTTGGAACAAAACTGTTAGCTTATCCATCATTTCTCTAAACGTACCTGTCGCGCATCCTCCGTCGTCCATGAACAATTCCATATAGTGCGTCACTAGGAAATCGTGTAGCCTTTCTGCTAATGTATCGCAGAACGCTGTCGGTGCTCCTGTAATTCCCATCGGCATTCGTCGATATTGAAAGTACCCTCTTCCTTCGATGTAGAACGCTAAATATGGACGCCACTTCTCCGGCACTTCTATCGCATAATACCCTGCTGCGAAGTCAAAAATTGAGATGTAACGTTGACCACTTAACCTCTGTTGTTTTGCTAATATATCCCCCTGCGGCATTGGGACTACTTCCGTTATTTTGTTAAGCTGCGCGAAATTCTGACAGATCCTCCATTTTTTCGGTCCTTTTTCTCTTGTTTCTTCTAAGGTAGGATTCTGTATCTCTCGTGGCGGTAACTCATAGGCTGGTTGTAGTCCCGCTGCTCTATGTTGGTCGTTGATTCGTTGCTTTAGCTCGTCCCATGGTAGACCGCCCGTTTCGTGTGCTCTTTGCACTATAACCGTGGTTGCTACACATCGAATCAGTTCTGGGGATGCTCTCTCTACTATACCTGCTTCCAACATGTCCGTTACTCGCTCATTGTAAAACTTCGCTTGTTCGGGCGTTAAAGGGCGTTGATGTATCCGTAGGTTGAATATTGCGTTATCTGGAACGTTTAAATTCAGCGCTGCTCCAGGAATAGGGACTACTTCTCTTAGTGTTAGTGCAAAACTGTCTGCGTTTTCCGCTATAAACTGTTCTAACTCCTTTTTCTCGTCTACTGTCAGGTCGTTCCCGAACGTGATCTGTCGGAGAATTTCTTTGACTCTTGCCGGATTAAATGGATTCGTTTGTCTTGAGTATATTGACGCGTCGTTCCTCATCGGTTCTAACTCTGGAAGTTCTTCTAATAGTTGCTCTCCTCCTTCGTCTGGTCCTTCTTGTGCGTTTAATATGTTGATGCTCGTTGTTTCTTCTGTTATATTATGTGTGTCAGTGCTTGATTGTTCTCTCGATACTCTGGCCGCTGTCACTCCCTTTGATGTGTTATTCTCTTTTTCTGCTGTTCTTTCTTTTGACGCGCTCTCTCTCTTCTTTCTGATCCAGTATCCTGTCGGCTTCCATTGGCCCATTGGGATGTTTGATGGTTTTGTTTTGTTTTCTAACGTCCTTTGTTGTTTCTCGTCTAGCGTGAGACTGACTGCATCTGCTCTCTGTAACATCCGCTTGTCCGCTATCTGGTTTTCTATTGCGACTGTTTTGATTCCGTCGGTTATCACGATCGTGTCCGTTTCGTATTCGTGAATTGCTGCGAATGTTTGAAGTGTCGGTTTTCCTAGTAAGAAGCCCCAGCTTCCGCCACTGTCAAAGACTTCAAACGTGCTCCGCACTCCGACTTCTTCAATCCTAATCATTCCCGTCCACTTTGCGATTGCTTTGACTATATTTCCATTTGCCATCCTTAATCGTTTGTCTGATGCGCTCCAGTTTCCCAATCTGTGCTTGATCTTCTCGAAGATCGACGTGCACATTGCACTGGTCATTGCGCCGTCATCGAATATCGCTCGTACTCTGACTCTTTCTCCTTGTGGACCTTCTAGCTCTATTCGGTGAGCGAACGGAACTGCCTCTCCATTTTTTAACTGAGTTTTTGTGACGACCGGGTGTCCAACCGAATACAAGTCATCGGTTTCGATTGCGTCGTGAAGTTCGGTAGTACATGCGATATCCTTAGCTACGCGCTCAGCAGAAACTTTGGGGCTAATGGTCCTAGAGTTGTCCTCGCATGTTGCCTCTTCGCATGCGAGGACTTCGACTCCGGCTTGAATGTGTTTGAGACTTTGGGTCGACGTAATGTTCTTTTTTACGTCGACCCGTCCGCTTTTCCCTGTTGTTCGGGAATCTCTTCAATCCACGCTTCTAACTGTGTCTCCTCGTAGCCGTTACTCATGACTAGTGATATCGGTGTGGCCGTTGCTCTGTTGTATGCGCCCAGCGTCTTGCTCACAATTGCTCTCCACGCTGCTTCTTTGCGCGTTAGCCTCTCTTCGTGGTTCGGCGGTAACGGGCAATCCCGTCCGTTGTGTCCATGTGTCCCACACGCGAAGCATTCGCTGGATGCGATGGCTGCCGTGCCCGGCTTTAGTGGGTATCCTGTCTCTTGTGTGACTCTCGCGTTCTCTCCCCATCTCGTGTTCCACTGTGCGAGCTGCGCTCTATATGCTGCTTTTCCTGCTGCGCTATCCGGGTGTTGCGGCATCGTTTGGACTAACTGCCTGACCATTGTTTTCATCTCCTCTGTTACTACTAACGGCTGTTGCGTTGTGGCCGGTTGCCGATTATACATTGGTTGTGCGTTCTGACGATTGGTTGCTGCTGGTACCCGGTTATATGTGTTGTTCGCTGTCGGAAGCGTTGGCGGTGTCGTGGGGTTAATCGACATTCTATTGAATTGACTTTGTAATGCTGCAATTGGGTTTTGCTGTGGTGCTCGTGTCTGGACTCGAGCTAGGTCTGCGCGTAGCGCTTTGAGCTCGTGTGATTGCTTGAGGTATTGTTCTTGTTTCTCTACAAGCCGACTTCCCTTGAGCTCTGTCACCGCTTTCGTGAACTCCTCCCACTTGGTATATTCTTCGTCTTTCAATAGATCCTTTACGATGTCCGGCAGTTTACTGCGGACTTGCCATATCATCGACGTGCTCTGTTCGATGCCTGCGTCTGTTGCGAGTTGAAGCGTCTTCATCGCCCATGCTACGTGCGTCCAGCATTCTCTATCGTAGAGCGTCTTCTTCTTTCCTACGTCTTCTTCTCGTAGTATATGCTCTAACAATTCTTTCTCGTACTCTGCTCTTGTCTTTTCCGCTATCTGGACTGGCGGCCAGCGTTTCTCGAATGCTATCACAAATGCATTCCATGTCGCTTTGTCTTTCGACTGCAACGCTTTGAACCATCGTTCTGCTTGTGAACTTGTTCCGAGGTAATCACCAAAAGCGTCTAATTTGTCGGTGCTGTCTGTTATTGTCTGCTGATGCATTGCTCGATTGAAGGATTTCAGGAAATCCGCCGGATTTTCTGATGCTCTTCCATCACCGTGAAATATCTGCGGGGTCTCTACAGGCATGACGGCTTTTAACTGTGCGAGTGCAAAGAATTCGGCTAGATTGTAATTCGGTACTGTGGAGATGGATGTGAGCTGCTCTGTCTTCGTGCGACGACGTGGTTGTTGGACTTCGGATGATGGTATGTAGATGTCTAATTTTTGGACTTCTAGTTCTGGGAAGGGGACTTGATTGTTCTGCTGTTCGTCTTCTTCCGAGAGGCTGCTTAGTGACGATGTGCTACAGTGACTTGGTGTGTTGTGTCCTGATGGATCTGGTGTATCGAGAGGAGATGATGCTGCTGATGTCTTTTCTGACCAGAGTTCCCAGTTCGTTTTTAAACGAACGTTGGTTACCGCTTGTCCTTTTGCTGTTCTGGGTCTCAATTTGTTAGCTTTGGGCATCAAATATAAATGTAAATGCGAGTAAGATGAACACTGCTCTTTTTTGTAATTGGTGTTGTTTTTGATGTGAGTTGCGACGTAATAAGACTGTATGTTTCTGTAAATGGTTCGTTAGCTTCTATTTGGGAGCTTCTATGTTCTATTCTATGACTAAAATCTAGACCGCGAGCTAATGCTTCTTTCTTCTGCGTGCTTTTTTGTGTGATAGGTGTGTGATGCAATATCGCGCTGGTTCGGATTCTCTCTGTTCACCACGATGGACTAGGACGAAAGCAGTGAGGGGAGAGCTCTATGATGCGTGATGATGTGTTACACTATGAACAGAGTTTGGCTATGTGCGCGTGTCGCTGACTAAGCTATGGCTATCGCCGAAGGACCAACTGCCTCTTGTCTATGTCTCTTCCTTTGGTCTATGCCTTGGGACCCCCGGTCCACCGGTCAGCGGGGGACGTCAGTGCCAGCCCTGCCAATATCGGAAGCCGCACCACAGAAGCGGAGGAAGTTAGTACCTGAGTTTGAAGCTCCGAGTCTACTATCCGTAGCTGAGGCACTGCTGAAAGTTGCAGGAGGGATCGAGGCAGCAATCGATAGGCAAACAAACCTGCTTTCTTTGATCCTGAACGCTATGGAAAGTCAAGGTAGTACTAGTGAGACATAGATCTTTCCAACTGTTTTACGTAGTACATGGAAGTTGTAGTAATGGTACAGAAAAAAAAACGGCTGCGGTACGTAAAGAAACACAAGGCGTAAAACAACAGTAGTGTGTGAGTCACGTACGACGACAAGCTTTGATGAGAAACACAATGAAAATCCATTCCAGTATACAGCATGATACTAGAATACACGATGCGAGAACTTGAGAGCGCCGTTTAGTGAATGTCAGTCTAGAGTTTGTCAAATAAAACTAGTACTTACCACATCATGAACGTTTAGCCCTCTTGGAGGCTCTGGGAGAGATCTCTGCCTCTTCAGCGGTGCGCTTGATCAATTTCTCGTGGTAGGTGGAGTAACGTGTATAGCCCGTCTGCCGTGCAGCGTTCCGCAACTGCTTCATGATTGCCTTCCAGTCTATAGGCGACGTTGGAGGCACCCATGCACGAACGAGCTCGAAGGGGTCAGGGCTAGGAGATGCGATTAAGTATATATCACAATTATTAAACTTAAAACTAACCTGTCATCGGTCTCCTCTGAGGATACCTCTGCAATGTCCGATTTATCTTCAACGCTGGACTCATCTTCAGCGTCAGAGTTGTCGGACGAAACACTGGACTCCTCTTCCGCCATGACTTCTTCCATGTAGCTGATGGTGGCATCCCTGAGACTCGCAAATGTGCGATGGAATAGGTGCTGCAGGTTTTCGAGGCCTGTTATGTCTGTGTCGGGACACAATCGCTGTCATTGTGATCAGATACGGCTACACCTGAAGAGGGAGGGAAACTCACGGCAGTTGCGAAGTATCGTGGATTATGGTCATAGAGATCAAATGGCCCGTCATCAGGACGGAGCCAAGTCGAAACAACGACAGTGAGGGACGACACCCAAGTGTGGGTAAAGCCTGTGACTGGGCCAAAGACTGGCGAATCGTCCTTCTGAAGCCATTTGTGGTACGAGACGACCTTCTTCTTCTTCGACAGTTTTCTGAAGGCATCCGATGATTCTGTTGGTGGAGAGTGGCGGTGATTTTCCAGGATATCGAATAGTGTTACAGCTCGCATGTGTGGGTTGAGGGTGACGGAACGTTGGAGTTTGGCGATAGCAGCATCGCGAGTCTGTGAGAAGGTAACCTCAGTCCCCCAAAGCTGCACACGCCCTCCGTCTTCATCATGGAACTCAAGCAACGCGTCAGGGGTACCAAGGGATTTCTCTGTGGACCCCGCCTCTCCCAACCCCCTGAGGGTCGAGTTCATCTGGACTATAAAGTTACCGAGCCCCTCGATGTCAAGCGATGCGAGAGCACTATCGATAGCATCTCGCAACGGCTTGAGGAGATTCTCGTGTATTGGAGTAGGCAGGGTTGCGACCAGCTGTTTGGACGATGGGGAATATGATATTCTGAAAGAAAGAGTCATTAGCGGTTATCGGATTCTCACACACAACTTACTTGTATCGATTAAATTGATGATTATCATCTTCGGCGATGGCCTCCAAAATCAAATCGCAATCATCGATGGACACATCAGAAAAGGTCTTGAGAACGAGTCAGCGTGCGAGATTATCGTGGGAGACAATGCCTCAAGGCCTCGTACCTTGTAATCAGCGTCGGTGCTCTCAGCCTGTCCTTCTCCTCTGAGAAAAGCGATAATCTGCCCACGCAAAACTTTCGCGAAAGCTCAACCCAGATATCAATGGCCAAAGAGAAAAACTGACCATCTTTTTTGGGAATCTCAGGTTCTTGCTCTTTCACCAAGGGCGGTTCAATGTGAAAACCGTAGAGTTTTTGGTGCAATGTAGCTGGTTTTGAAGTCGAAACTGCTGCAGCCACATGGGTTCCAGTAACCCGTTTGACGAGCCGAGGGCGACTTGTTCCTAGAGAGGTCCCTTTGCATTTCATTGTGGTTTTTCTTGTCTGGCAGCCATTGCTCTGGACTCGGCGTGATAAGGGAGGAGGCATGGCACAGTGCTTGATGTGGCACTATGGTCACCTATGCTTATATATAAATACGAGGCCTAAGAGCTCCGAGCCTTATCCATGATCGCGGGGGCTGTCCTGGGCTGTCATTGGTCAACAAAGACAACAGTTGTCACAATCGGCATTTTCCACCCACGATTTCATTTGCAAGTGTGCATAGTGAGTAGGTAGTAAGTACACTAATAGTGTTTGTATTGTGATTCTGTCATGGAAATGGTACTCAAGTCTTTTTCAGTGACTTTATGATACATTAAAGTTACAGGTGGCAAGATACCATAGTTATTTTACTTTTGTGAATGAAAAGAAGATCCATCTTGGTGATACAACCACCCCAATTGCTGTAGAACCTTTGCATGCCCAGGGTTGTCAGCAACAACACGTTCATATGCGTTCTGAAACTTCTCAGTCAAGCTGGGGTGGCTATGTCAGGGTCCAAGCCCGACTTCTACCGGATCATCCATTAGCATAGTCACCAGCAGCCATCACGCTCTGCTTTCTCTACCACTACTACACATGAGAGTTCATTTACTACTGGCCAATATACTGTTACTTCTCATTATTTTGATGGCTGAGCATTTCAAGTGCCATGAGAAGTGCGGATGGACTTTTTCAGCACCAGGAGGCCTGACCCGCCACCGCAAAAGTTGCTCTCACTGGCAGCAGCAATTAGATCGACAATCCATGCATTTCAAACGTGGCTCAGATGGCATGCAAGGATATGCGATGAAGAAAGTAAAGCTCAGCACTACTACAACAGCGGCAGTAAGTCTTTTTACTTACCCTACCTAATCTTTATTCAATCAGACTAGGATATCTCAACCTCAGGCGTGCAGCTGGTGCCCGCTCCGACTCAGGCTGCAGCAGCTGCATCTTCAAGTTCTAATGGCTTTTTGGGGGCCACGTCTGCTTCCAGTAGCAGTTGCGATTACACAGCTCCGGTTCTTCAGCCATCAACAGAACTTCCGGAGCCTAGCATTTTGCATGAGCAGCCTGAACCATCTATACCAATTTCTACTCCTAATTTACATGATAACCGCCCTACTCGCTCTCGCCGGTTACCTATGCGATTTAGAGACGAGCTTCCAGTGCCGCCGCCTGCAATCCCACAGCCCCCTCCTTCTACTCTTCCCCGAGTTATTCTCCACGTATTCGATTCTTTCCGGACAACCATAAATGAATTTGGCATTGGACGAGAGTATCGTCATCGACCAACACACGATCCTGATGCATTCGTTTCTGTGGATCAGCTATCCAATGTCTATCCCAGTTCAAGTCCAAACACTGAGCTGTCTAGTAGTCCCGAGGTGGCATCTTCCTCGAAGCCTCCCCCTTGGCCGTGGAAAAATATGAGTGTCTGGCGCCTCATGACTTGGATGCTGACTGGAAGCAACCAAACATCCCATGCTCAAGCCACTCGGCTGGTCAAGGAAGTCCTATCAGCTGAAGATTTCCAAATTGATGATGTAAAGGGCTTCAATGCCCAAACTGAAATGCGGCGTTTGGATTCTTCAGAAGCCCAACTTAACGACAATGATATATACCGAAGGGACGGGTGGAAAGAAATAGCTGCAGAGATTCTAGTACCGACCCGGGAGAAGAATCCCGATGGAAATGGGCAGCCCTTTACGATCCCTGGATTCCAGTACCGGCCCCTTATAGCTGTCATTCATGCCGCTTTCTCAGAGGCAACATCTAAATGGTTTCATTTCACTCCCTTCAAGCGCTTTTGGAAGTCTCCTGTGACTGGTCAAGAGCAACGTCTTCATGATGAGCTCTATACATCAGACGCGTGGATTAAGGCTCACGACGACCTGCAGAAGCAAAGACGAGACGATGGCTGCAAGCTTGAGAAAGTCATTGCTGGACTCATGTTTTGGTCGGATTCTACACACTTAGCGCAGTTTGGGAACGCATCAGCATGGCCAGTTTACTTATACTTCGGAAACCAATCCAAATACACCCGTTCCTGCCCCACTTCTGGTGCATGCCACCTTGTGGCGCTCATTCCCAGCGTAAGTGTACCTATACATACTAGTATCGTTGTGCTAATGGTCGACAACTTGTCCTTGGCAGCTTCCAGAATCCATCAAACGATTTATTGCGACGATTATCTCGATTAAAAGGAAGAGTTACCACGACATTCTTACCCACTGCAAGCGCGAGATGTTTCATGCTATCTGGCGTATTTTAATAGATGACGACTTTCTTGATGCATACAGAAATGGCATCGTAATCAAGTGTCATGATGGGGTATACCGCCGAGTATTTCCTAGAATATTTACCTACTCTGCAGATTACCCTGAAAAGTGCGTAGAATGTGTTCTTCTCACCCTGTTTCTGCTAATAAGACCTTGAAGAGTTCTCATTGCAGCAATTCACGACAAGGGTGTGTGTCCCTGTCCTAGGTGCCTGCTTCCAAAATCATGTTTTGGTCGGATCGGACTTCGTTCTGATGTGTTGGGAAGAGTTGCAAGAGTGCATAGATTTATCAAAGATGCTGTTGTCGCTGCACGCAATGCCATCTACAAATTAGGCACCCCAATCAAGGGTGCTGCTGTCGAACGTCTTCTAAAAGGGTTCTCACTTGTGCCCACCCTTGTAAGCATATCTCGTCTTTATCCTACTTGGTCTTTATTTCACCTCACCTACAGAACACCTTTGCTGAGCGATTGGGCCCTCTCGGCTTTGACTGCTTTTCAATGCTTGTTGTCGACCTTTTACACAAGTTCGAGCTGGGTGTATTCAAATCTGTGTTCAAACACCTTATCAGGCTACTTTACGCTATAAACCCTGAATGGGTAGGTGTCTTGAACGAACGGTAAGACATCTGACTGTTATGAGGGCTGCAGGTTCTGATGTGGATACTGCAACCCATAGCTTTCGCTTGATCCCTTCCTTTGGCAAGGGCGCTATTCGGCGCTTTCCAACCAACGTAGCTGATGTCCGGCAAAATGTTGCAAGGCACTTTGAAGACGTTTTACAAGTTAGCCAGGCAGTCTTCACGGATTCCAACACTGACCTGCTTCCTCTTTCAAAACAGTGCGCAATCCCTGCCTTTGAAGGGTTGTTCCCTAAAGAGCATGACAATGGTATTCGGCTTCTTCTCTTTCGACTCGCAGAATGGCACGCCCTAGCCAAACTCCGACTTCACACTGATGACTCATTAGACAAACTCGACGAAGCACTGAATGCCTTGGGCAAGCAGCTCCGGAGGTTTCAGCAGTTCACATGTTCAGCTTTTCAAACAATGGAACTTCCACGTGAAGTAGCTGCACGTCAGAGGAGGCAGGATGCTGATTTTCACTCCACCAATCAAGAAGCAAAGGCGTCTGGCGCTCGTCTCAAAACCTTCAATCTTCTCACTTACAAATTGCACGCGCTTGGTGATTATACTGCTTCAATCAGGTTTTTTGGTACAACAGATTCATATACCACCCAGATTGTACGTGTTTCATGTTCAGCTATATTGACCATATTGACATTCTGTGTTTTGCAGGGCGAACTGGCTCATCGTCTCATCAAAATGCTGTATCAAAGTACGAACAAGCAAGATACTTCAAAGCAGCTGGCTAAGCAGGAACGAAGGCGCACTCGCATCCGACGGCAACAGTCATCCAAGTCAACAATCCTCGCTCACAACATATGCACCAGTGACCTACCACCTGAAGCCCATCATTTTTTGTCTGGCGATAGATCCAACGCCATAAATTTGGCCTCTTACCTCAGCGAACACAGAGACGATCCAGCTATCAAAGTAAGACAGAACAGCTGACTGATGTTTTCATTGCTGACAATATCCAAAGAATTTTATTCCGAAACTGAAAGATCATATTCTCTCACGACTGCTAGGCTTGGATTATGACGGCGATGAGCGAAATTTCAGTGACACCGAACGCAACAGCCTACTCTTCATCGACAATCTCAATCGAGTCTGCCAAGCTAAGCACTTGCAAATCAATTACACAACATACGACATTCACCGCGACCAAGACACCCTGAAACCAGGGCGTGGTCAGTCTGTAATGACACTGTCAAGGGAACAAGGCGCAGGCGCTCATCCGTTTTGGTATGCACAAGTTTTGGGTGCTTATGTTATACAGATACTCCATGTTGGTGCGGATGCTCGTAATCGCTCTCCTCAATCGATGGAATTCTTGTGGGTCCGGTGGTTCGGTGTGGTTCCACGCTACCACTGGGGCTTCAAGGAAGGCCGACTCCCAAAAGTCGGATTTATACCAGATTCCCCTGCTGCATTCGGTTTCCTCGACCCTTCTCTTGTCCTCCGAGCTTGCCATCTCATACCAGCCTTTGCTGATGGTCGTACGAATGATCTCCTGAGGCATGGCCCCACAGTTGCACGCCCATTTGGAGAAGTAGATGACTGGACCGCATTCTATGTTAACATGTGAGTCAGTGGACATGGTTGAAGACTCTTGATGATTGATTGCGCAAACAGTTTCGCTGATCGGGATATGTTTGCTCGCTTCGCACGCATTGGCGTCGGTCATCAAATTCAGTATATTTTGCCAAATGCGACTGAGGATGAGAATTTTGTAGGAGACGATGACGATGAACTTCTAGCTGAGGGCGATTTGGAACCATCTACAAGCAATGCTGGTGGGCAGATACTCGACTCCAATGTTGGCAATTGCCAGAATCAAGCTTTAGGCGATGAAACTGATGGTGAAGACGACGTTGAATCTGATGAAGACGACGCTGAACCTGATGAGGAAGAAGACATTGAATCCGATGCTCAAGATGATGAAGGCTGTAGCTCAGAGGATAACGGGGAATCTGAAGATGAGGGACCAGACTTTAAATTTTAGGGTCGACTTACTCGCAACTTAAGCTGATTGTAGTGTAGACATTGTATTCCATTGTGACTCCTAGATGAATCGTTCCTTTCGTACTGGCAGATCCATATGGGACGCACTTGAATGGCATCGCACGCGTGACTTGAAGCTTGAAAGTCCCGGTACTGCTTACCCTCACCACACCAGCAAATATATGGGCTTATGGCGGTTAGATATACTTGTTGTTTGATTTTTATTGATCTAGGTAAGCTATAACATTCATAGTGCGTGATCTCAGTGTACCCAAAGTTATTGTCTGACTACGGTCACGATGGATTGCTATATAAAATGCTGCTTTATCGCGCAATTCTGATGGAAAATTGTAGACGTCAGAACATTAGCTTGGAACCCGATCTGGGTTCCTATTGGTGTATTGAAAGCAAGCGGAAATAAAGAAGTGACTATGGATCAGTAATACGATTTGGGGTTGGGAGGGTGGAGTGTAGAATTACGAACACTAGCTAGAGAGTTTATAATGGCTTATATGGGGTTCACCAAAGAGCAAGCAAAGGACAAAAGAGATCACAGATCAGGCATCTAATACGTGTTTCACAAGCCACCGCATAGACATATATTGGTGAATCATATTTGCCCGACCTTATAAGGTAAATATGGCCACATCATGCTTGGTGGGTTTCAGTGATGTTATAACAGCAATATTGTAGCTTGATGCTACGCGATGTCCTGGCCAATTTGACGATATAGATGAACTTCCGCCAATGTTTTTTCATGGGATGGAAGCCCCTCAGTCCTCCCCAATGGATGATTTACGCCCACATTCCTCTGCAAATGCATTTCTCGCTCGCCTTCTCTCGCTCCTCCACCGCTTTCGACCCGACAATGATGGAACGACTGAACTTCCGCAACCTTCGCGGCCTTTGGCGGTCCATCTACGCACACTCCTCGCTCGCCTGTCCTCACTCATTCACCGCTTTTCACCTGAAAGTGATGCACCAAATGAACTTCAGCAACCCTCCACGCCTTCCCGGTTAGATCCACATGTGCTTCTGGCTCGCCTTTCCTCACTTTTCTCCCGATCTCGACTCAGTACCGACGAAGAAGGCGAACATCATCCAACATTGCCTACGAGTTCACATTCAGATGCGAGGCTCATCGGCCGGCTGTCCTTATTCTTCCGCTCTCAACCCCACACCAACGAAGAAGCCGAACATCATCCCACAGTGGCTTCAAGTTCACGTCCATATGCGAGGCTCGTCAGCCGGCTGTCTTCACTCTTCCGCTCTCAACCCCACACCAATGGACAAACAGAACTTCCGCAACGCCCAAGTCGTCCTCGTGTTGTCGACGTGGCTGCAGTGCGGGACAAACAGGTATGGCTCTCCTTGGTGCATTTACAATCGCTGTGGTTTAGTGATCTCCGTTCAGAGTTTGGTTGTTGCTCGGGGGCCAAATTTTAAGAAAGCAAAACGAGCATATGAGGAACGAACCAAATCCCACGCTCAAGCTCAGGCATCGTCATCGGGCACTCAGCCTGCCCATGCTTCGACATTAGCGACATCTCCTGTTCCAGGTACTAACACTACCACAATAGGCGCAGCAACCCCGCAGTCACCACCCATCCCATGGTGGAGTCAGATCGTGCTATTTCTCTGCTGTGCATCTCCACCACCTGCCAATAGTCATTGATACAATTAGCGTTGCAGCATTTGGACAACTACTTCACCTTTGCTTCTAGTGATTTCGCACTTATGTCTCTTTCCTTATGTCTTTCCAGTACACCATCAATCTCATTTCCTCATCATAAGCCTCATGCAATGCACCGGACAGGATAACACAGGGAAGGACTAATACACTGTACAAAATGATATATGATACACCAACGAAAGGACAGTCTCAACTCTCCGCAACCTAAACGAAATCAACAGTCGTTCATACCCTCGACATTGAGAGCGGGTCTCCCCTTCTCCTTTCCCGCGCGAACCTTCTTTGCAACAATGCCCCTATAGGCCATTTGAAAGTCAGATTGCATATCTTTCATGCTGCTCGGAACCCCCTGCATGAATTCCTCGACCTCTAGAACTCCAAATCTGAGTGCATCAACGTCACGGGCACGATGAGCGGATGAGGAAGGTTCTAGCTGCTTGCGCAGTTTCAATCCCTTCCTGAGGAGCGTTCTGTAAATAGGACGGTGTCAGTTATTGCATGTTGCTGAGTAAGTGAGGACTGACGCTATCCCGCTTCTCTGCTTGCCCAACTCTTCAAGCTTTTCATGAGACTCCTTGTTGAAAAGGCCTTTTGTCTTCGTTTTGGCAGCTCGAGTCAGAGCAATGCCTCGCTCCAAGCACACCAGAAGGTGAGGCAATGGTCCAAGGAAGAGCAAGCTGTAATAACCCGGACGCCATTCAGGGGACTGCGTCTCCTTCAGGCATGTCATGAATATCGCATCGATTTCGGGATTGACTGCACGACTCGAGCGGCGTCTGACGTAACGGCGGTACGTGTTCTGAATTTTGCGAGCCGCCTCTTCTTCCTCCGCCGATGGTCCGTTGGTGCGTAGTGACTCGTCAAGATCAGGTGCAAGCAACGTCGCCGCCTCATCCAAAGTCTCCGATGCATCACGGGTCTCTGTATCAGCATTCGCCGTGAGATCTCCTTCCCTTTCTCTCTCCCTTTCTCCCTCTCCTTCGAACTCTTGAGGTTGCGGTTCTGTTATCTCTTTCTCATCGTGCTGCATAACCTCTGGTCGGTCCTTGGAATGTCCTAAGCGAGGTACAGAGGCAAGGGCCTCCACTCTCGGGGTAGACTGTGCGATCACTGCGTACGATGAGAGGAGATGGGGGATCTCGATGGTCTTCTCGTATACCAGCCGTCGGCCTATACTAGTATTGACTCGGGTATATTGGTTCATCTTTTTGTGGACAAGATGCACCAGGTTTCCTACTCCTTTATTGTCGTCGAAAGCCAGGAGAGCTCGCAGATAACCGTCTGGAAGTGGCGTACATCCTGGCAGGGGTGTTATGCACTTGACCACGTCATCCACGAGTTTCCAATAATTAACTGGATGCCGATTCGAAGGAGGGGTTTTTTTGTGCAGAGAAAGAATGATATTGTTTACTCTGTTTCTCAAGAGGGGATGACTGATGTGATGAGCGACTAATGAACACAATTCAGCAGCGGATGGGTATTGAAAAGAGACAATGAACGTACTAAGGCAGAGAACCCTGCAGCTACAATACACGTGATCAATATGTACATCGCCGACGGATACTAAATTGGACTCACATCCGGGAAATGAAAACATTACGCAGAATGGGCGTAAATTTCGCGTAGTTCAGCCAGAGGAAATCTGCCCAATTGTAATCTCGGATCGCTGAAAAATTAAGAGACTCACCCATGCCGGCTTCTACGCGCAATGCTTCGACCAGCCTCGCTATCTCATCTAGAAGCTCGCCCATCAAAGGCAGGTTGGTTTTTTTCTCCGTAGTGAATTTGTGGGGAAACAGCAGCCAGTTACATGGAAGCACGACGTTATGAAGGGGAAGCTTATTGAAGTATGGGTCGATTCGCCAGTTGATTATAAAAGCACCGCAGACGTCCTCGATACAGTCGCACAACACCGAGAGGTTGACATATAAACGATTATCTAGAACATGCCTGAATTGCACTTAGTTCGTTGCATGTAGAGAGAAGAAGAACGCTCACAGAAGGTACAGGATTCCCGATGAGATGCTGCTTAGGGAAGCTCCTTGGTAAGAACTAAGCAGGTCATGAACCATATAGCGTTTGTCCCCCTTGCGAACGAGGTCTAGCGGTCCAGAGATCGTACACTTTGCTCGAGAGATGTAGGCAGGTGCATCGTCCTTGTCAAAAGCAAAACTTAGACTGGTTATTCCCATCAACGCTGTCAAAAATTCAGCCTGGGTAAAGAATGGGTCGAGCGAGTAGAATGATTCGCAGATCCAGAGCTTCACCACTTTCATGCCATCTCGACGAAGAGGCATCAGGTTCATGTCGAGGTCCGCAGGGGAACCTTGAATGAATAAGGGTGGATTGATAGCCTCGTAGAGATGCTTGAGCCAGTCCCTCATGCTGATAAATTGATCAGTATGAGTACTCGATTATAAGCTACCTCCAGGCGTACCTTTTGCGTCGGTCAATTTTTGGGTGAGCAGAATACATGAATTGCAAGATCAGAATCTGCCAGATGTGGATGGCAACGCGGTTGTTGTAATACTGGCGATCCAATTTCGATACTGCAACATGTTCTTGAGGGCACTTATCTCTTTGACACACTCCAGATATCAAGAATTGCAGGCATTGCGAGAAAACGGGAGACTCGCAACACTTGGCATCGATCCTCGACACTTTGTCCTTCAAGATTGTTCGGATAGATCGTTGTAGCAACTTGGTGACGTTTCTACGAGAGGCTGTATACCCGGACGGAGTTTCCGATGCCCAAGTGATGTTCTGGCGAGTCTCCATAATTTTGTTGTGCAGGAACGTTCCATTTAGTATGAGAAACTCGTCACCAGACAGCCGCACGATGGAGAATAGTCTCCGGATGCCCATATGTTCCATGGGGTCGGGGAAGGTCAAAATCAGATAGAGCAGTCGCGCATAGGCGTGAAACTGTTGAAGGAACCGTCGCATTTCATCGACCGTGAAAGCTCGCATATCTATGGTTCGAGAGAATACATGGTCCAGGCAAAGGAGAGCTGCGGGCTTGTTATGCTGTTCATGGAAGTTGAGCGCAAGATTTCTCAATGACTCATGGTTTCCGCGCAAGATGCTCTGGAACATCGATAGCTGGATGTCGATCAGTTCAGTTTATTGCTTCGAGACTGCTAATACGTACTAGATCACGCGTGGCCGGCGTTAGTTTGTTCATCTCCAGCTCATCAGCAAGAGCAATGAAATGCTGCATTGACTCTGGCTCATCAACAACGGATTTTGCAGTGATTCCGAAGGAGCATTTGCGCCAAAAGTATGCCAATATAGTATCGGCCGCACGGGTAGTAGAATCGTCCTTGCTGTCGTCCTTAATGAATGCTCGGACAGCTTCCAAGGGCCTATTCTCCGACAAGTGGAGTTCTGCGGCCTCATAGTACCTCGAGTGAGATTCAAGCAGTGAGGCACGAGCGTAATCGAGATCATAGTCCTCCAGAAATTCGAGTTCCTCATCAAATGTCGAGAAGAGTGGCAAGGGGGGCCTGCGCAATTGCTATTAAATAAAAACACTGTAGAGAGTTTAAGACTTACCGAGCTGTCCTGCTGAAGTAAAACAGTCTGCACACAGTCCATAACTCCGCCGTGGTCTCTTCAGGTATATCCGTGCCATGGTCATTAAGGACATGGAGGGTCTTGTCAAACCGTCCAACCTTGCGATACCTCTTCGCCGCTTGCTCGAACTCTTGAGCACCGAGATAGGCCTCAGCAGCTTTAAAGTCATCTCCTGCTCGAATGTAGCAATCCGCTGAGTTACGATAGTATTGGAGCTTCTGATTTCCTGTCGCGGTCGCCGCGCAATCAGTAAAGGCATCGGCGGCCACGTTAAAAGCTCTTTTTTGGTCGCTGAGTAAGGCCACGCCGACACTAGAACGTGCGACTTCTCGCAGTTGATATGCTTCACAGACCTTCACTTCACGACGAAGGTTGGCACGTTCGAAGCAGTGGATAGCCTGCGAGTAGCGCTTGTGCGAGAATAGTGAGCGCCCGAAGGATGCCCATTCTTCTGGAGTCGAGGAGACGGCTAGATGAGGGACATCTGTGCCGGGGGTACAATTCTGGATCTGATTGCGAGACGTCCAGAATATCTGAAGAGAACGGGTTATCAGATCGAGTTACGCCAACACGCTGCTCTAAACGTACACGCATCGGCTCCGATCTGTCAGATTTGTCCACGATCCATATGTTCTTCCTTGCTCGTGTGATTCCCACATAAAGAATTTTGAGCTAATAAAGTAAGCCAGAGTTGATTTCGAGGATCGGTGTGCCCACCTCGCTGCAAACCCCAGCGTATCGCGCTTCGTCTCGGTCGAAGTTCGGTGCATATACTTGACCATCTACCCCATTGAGAACTACGCGCCATCGTGACAGATCTACAGTAGAATCCTCGAAAAAATTGTACAAAAGCACCTGACCGAAGTCAGACATTCATCAGATAGCAAACTTAGCTTTCTCACATCATTGAATTCCAGGCCTTTGCTCTCATAAAGCGTCCTGTGTGTATATGTGAACATGAAAGCACAGAGTAAAGGTAGTCTTAACACGACTCACATGATCAGTCCAACCTCACCAACTTGGTCGCGTAACCTCTGACGTGCTGCATCGTCACGCACAAGAATGCCTAGATATATTATCAGTGTATGAATAGAACCTTCATATAATTGCTTTACATTGCTCGGCTCCGAACTCAATATGACCACCCCTAGAAGAATCTTCAGGAAGAGAGGTGGGCTGTTGTCCAGGTCCACTTACTTCGTCCCAAACAAGAACTGCTCATGATGAACGGTAGCTTTATCCCAACCTGTAAAAAACACAGGCTTCAGCCCGTCAACCACCCCCATTTCTGGTTGAAGTGTGTCAATTGTGTTGGGCCAAAACTTTGTAATGAGTTCGATCACAGAACGTGCACAGTTGACGATACCACCATGCGATCTGTAGTTGATCGCCAATTGAAACATCACAGGCTGACGAAGACATGCCCCAGCGGAATTGACCGAAATATTTTGCTGCTGCTGCTCTAAGGTATCGATTAAGGCCCGAGCTAAGTCACTGTATGCTCACCTCCACACGGTAGAGAAACGCTTTCAGGTCATCGAACCTGAAGGAACTCCCTGCAGAGATCGTCTGTGCGGTGTCCCCAGCCCAGAACAAACCGTCTGGATTCCTGCATAGTTGCCTCAAAACTATAACAGAAAGTTCTAAATGGATTTATGTCAACGAAAGATGGAGTAGCTACTTACAGAGTGCGTCGATCAGAAGGTTGTCTTGTGCTTCATCGACATACCTAGTGCAGGTGGTCAGGCGCAAGATGTATTGGTGGTGATAATACATACAGATAATCGATCTGTTTTCCAGGGAATTCTTTGCTTCGCAAGACCTTGAGTATTGCATGCGTGCTATTTGTGAATATATCGTGACATGACATGGGTGAGAAGGGGAATAGGTCATACCGGTCTGCAACATCATGATGACTTCGCTGCCTCTTGATTTTCGTATAATGCTCGAATATGTCGTACAGAACTCCCCTCTGATTCGCAAAATTTGGGTTAGAACGATGAGGAAGACGGAGGTAGTTTGGGCGATCGAGAACTCCTTCAGGACAGGTCAGTGCGTGTTCGGAGCCTTTGACGATCCCTGTATGTGTATTAAAAAAGTATCGGTGTCAATGTAATACAAATAGTACTCGCCCATGAATTCGCTGAAAACCAACCACGGATCTGATGGGGCAGTGTCAGTACTCTATTGTCGTCATAAGAGAAAAAGGACACTACTGAGATTCTTGCTGAGATTCTGTGGAAAATGAGGCCAGTATTGATTTGCGAATACGTCATAGGTGACGAAACAGTCATGCGCGTCAGCATCCTCAACATTGAAGAAAACTTCTGCGCTGTCTTTCTTGCTCAAGATATCTGCCGCGATCATTTTCGCCAGCTACATAAAGTTTCAATTAGCTTTTGGAACTATCTAGACGACGGATTGTGACGCACTCGATCGAAAGTGAGAAAAAGAGGAAAGTGCTTATCCTCAAGTTCGCTGTATTTCATCGGTATATTCATCTGTGATTCGGGCAGGTCGTCGAGATCAACAAGGCCCTCCTGAACACTTCGTGCCTTCATTTTTGCAAGTTCCTCCAGGGTATAGCCTGCTAACGCCAGAGATTCTAGAAGCTTCATGAAATACTCTTCTACTTTCGTAGCGAGCACTCTGGATTTGGTGACAAAGATTTGGCGTGGCTTCGGCATGTCGACGGCACTCATCTCCCAAGCTCGCTGAATGCCGAGAATCTTAAACAGCATCGTCGTGGTTTTGCTAGTTGATTATGATAAATAAGCTAGACACGTTAGGGGTAGGACACTTACCCCGTGCCGCTGCGACCCAATACGTAACATGACGTAGTACATTCGACAATCTTTTGTTCTTGAGGACTGAACCAATATCGATCAAAAAATTCGGTTCATTGGAGCAGAACTTACGTGAGCATAAAGACGTGCTGTACATCTTGGTCTGCGATGAGACCTTTTGCAAAGATGAGAATAAGTGGCGAGCCAACTACATGATCACTCACTATGCAAGAACGCCTAAAACAAGAGGTTATCGAGTCAATATTCGCATGCCCATAAACCGTATTTATAAGCTTACTTGCGAGAATGTGACATATTTCTCCAAACTAGGAGATTGTTAGATGAAAACCAATTTGTATAAGGATGGCGAAAATGCATACACAAGCAAAGAGTGAAGCTATGACATGGATCAATGACCGCACAAATGACAATTGAAAATACTCAACGTGGTCCATGTCCTTATTACTAAGATTAAGTGGGCCTCCTGAGCACTCTGGCTCAGGTTCAGCTAGCGGGAATGACGCAGGCAGAATCGCATTGTCTTTAGATAGGACTGGCCTGTTCCGAAAGGTACACCTGCACAAGCAACGATTCACTGAAATGCACCAAGAGTTGAAAGGATGTCCTCGCCTTCTACGATATTCTCTGCCCTTGCGTGCGAGATGGCTACCCAAGGCATCCCATATTCCGTCAAGCTGAGCATCCATATAAATGCCGTATATCTTGATTACTGGGGTTCATATGAGTGCTAATGGCGCAGAGATGTAATTGCACTTGATAGTTTACCTTGTCTTTCGGACTGTCAAGATCAGTCTCAGTATCATGCCCGATGTTGATGTAAGTACGACGTACCTTTCCATCTTGGTCAGGGACACAATCAATTTGGTACTGTTAGAAAAGGTCGGTCGCCCAAAGCTCTAAACGACGTACGTGAAATTACACTTACCACTAATTGTAGGTCCTTTGTCATCTTGGCATCGTAGATGGGTATGCCTGCATCCGGCCCGTTAAGTCGCTTATGATTATCATCTGAAAAATGGCCATTCGATAGTTGTCTGTGGAACCGATGAGATCATTGCAGTAAAATTCTTCAGAAAACCGACTTGATCTTCTTGAAGATGATCTTGAATGTCTTCTTATCTGCTCTACGGAATTCACGCAAATGTTTGTAGGCCTCCGTAGATATCAGAATTTGCCACTCTCCGAACCCGTCCGCGTTGTCGAAGTAAAGCGCAGCCTTCATAGGCTGCACCATTTGGTACGCATTGAGTCGGTCTGTTGGCCTCTCAACATCCTCGGTTGACGAAACTTCAGGCGCAACATATTTGGCATACTCTCTCACGATTGGAAAGAGTAAGGCTTTGATGTCGCCTGTCAATTCCGTCCTCCGCAGAAGCGAGAAGTAGAACTTACGGAGAACTGTCAGAGGAAACGTCAAAAAAAAAGTGAATATACTCACCGAGAGAGCATTTTTCAGCTTTGCAAGAATCTGAGTAGACAATGATGCGGCAGCCTCGCTCGTGAGAGGCACAACCACACCAAGCCTCAGGAAGAGTGATGTGTCGATAGACGTACGAGCTTTCGGGCGATTACGCTTGCGCATTTTCTGAGGCACTTTCTTCTTGACGAATCCGTCATCAGATTCGTCGAAGACATCTATCTCGTCTTCAAACGACCCTACATCAGAAAATTCCATAGTGTTCAATGCGCAGAGTGCAGGTAAAGCGCCCTCGATGAAGCATCTGTGGCGGGTGATGTCCCTAGAGACATCCATCGCTAGAGACCCGGCAGGAAAAGGTAAAAAGTACATAGACAGATTGTCCAGCATCTTTCTCGCGATGGATGCCGGATATTCTTGAGATTTCGTTGGAAAGTCTGTCATGATCTGTGAGATCATTGCCTCACAGCGATCCCAAACTGTTAGAGAGTCAGAGCTGATGACGCTCGAAGAAAGTTTGTGAGATACCAGAAATAATATATGCAAAAACATAGGGTGACGACAACATATGTTCGACCATAGCTTGTAATGCGGTTGCTCCTGAACTTGACATTGCATCCAGATGATGCAAGGCGGCTCTGAGGCCTGCCTCGTTGACTATTCGATCTTTGGAGAATAAGTCCAACATGGTCTGTTGAACCAGAGGAGCTTGTGATGACGAAGTGGTTGTATGAAAGGCTGGGGAACTTAGACTTGAGCTGTGTCAATGGTACAAAGGAATGCCTCGAGCTTGAGCTAATTCTGCAAGGATGTTTGGTCCTTATATCGTCGAGCCAGCGCTCTGCCTGAATTTCCAAACAGGTTGAGGCGCAAATAGCACACCCAAAATCGACACCTGCTGGCAACCTGAAGCTGTACATGATGGATAAACTTGGACCCCCAAATGATCCTAGATAGTGAAAAGAACACGCCCCTTACGTAGGTGGGACCAGAATCACCAGATGTGTAAGTTAAGTTAAGTTAGCATTCCGAAATAAATCGGCTAGGGCTAGTAGGGTCACCTCATTTCAGGATGGTGACAAAAAGTTCGCGTCTAGACTGATCTTTCTTGAAAATAAGGCTACGAGTCACAGGCTGGAAACCACGGAGCGTGTTGTGAGAGAAGCAGACGAGAGGCGCAATATGTTAATTTTTCGGAAATCTCCTATATATAGCTACATATACATTCTATATCATACAAGCAAATATCATCCGTTCACCTTCGAATGTTTACTACGATGGATTACAATAAGGGATGTCTCTAGACTGTTATTCTTCTCTTGCAAATACCGTTCGAACGAATGCCTCGTACTCTTCACCGACATGATATCTTATTGGGATTTTTCCCACGCCATAGGGTATTGGGCATTGTGTAATTTGTGTTGACAATACCAAGTACAGCTGAGCGCTGATCACGGTGATTCCGAATTGATGATCCAGGGACCAGCACAGGCTTGCGAAGTTCATGAAACGCATGGCAGCCAATCCGCGAGTGTGGAAGGTTGTTATCAGTATGATGCACTTCAGGTAAGTTCAGACCATCTGTATGTCTCCCAGACATGTCCTGACCTCATGTTTACTAGTACTATCAACCATCGTACAGAACAACATTGCAAAATGTCGTGATCTGTTTCTTGTCATGGTCTTCGCCGTGGTCGTCGGTCGAACAGACTGACAGGATGTCCAGGTTATTGAGGCGCAGGTACGATTCTATGAAGATGAAGACTCGGGTGCAGCACCGCCGCAGCTGGAGACTTGGAGCATATTAAAAGCGAACGATAACAGTGGGGCAGATGCCATCAAGATGGTGTGGAGCTCTGTGCAGCAACCTCCGCTTTGGTCGAAACGACTCAGACTATAAGGTATGCAGATATCATTTTCATGAACGAAGTCACTCTCTTTCACATTTACAATGTACCATACGCGCAGATACTGTTTTCGCATAATAAGGCGGACGATAATCCACACATTAATGTATCCATGCAGAAGCCAGGACGAACCAATCATAATTGTATCCTTTCACTATATCACATCTTCACACAAGGCGCAGCCTCGCATCATGACAAATATTTTTTCTTTTGTCCTTATTATCCTTGTCCTTGTGCACAGCCGTATCATATGCCCTCAACCACTCACTACGATACTTCAAAGAACGTTGTATACATTGTCGAATTCCTCCCAACGTTTCAAAGGTCCATCGTCTCAGCCGGGAGTCTCATTCTTAATGCCTCTCTATCTTGCTTTCGTCTTCCAATCCTCAGGTGATTTTTGATGTTTCGGGTTAGATCACCCCCCAGCTGTGCCCGTTTCTGATTGTTCTCGCGCGCACAGGCATTGATTTACGGAAATACGTACTGTATAATATGATAGACGATCTCGACTTCACAACGTGAACAAAATCAACAGACGTTCATACCTCGACATTGAGAGGGGGTTTCTTTTTCTCTCCCGCATGAACCTTCTTTGTGACAATGCCCTTATAGGCTATTTGAAAGTCGGATTGCATATCTTTCATGCTGCTCGGAACCCCCTGCATGAATTCCTCGACCTCTAGAACTCCAGATCTGAGTGCATCAATGTCACGGGCACGATGAGTGGATGAGGAAGGTTCTAGCTGCTTGCGCAGTTTAGATCCCTTCTTGAGGAGCGTTCTGTAAGTAGGACGGTGTTAGCCATTGTATGTTGCCGAGTAAGTAAAGACGGACGCTATCCCGCTTCTCTGCTTGCCCAACTCTTCAAGCTTTTCATGAGACTCCTTGTTGAAAAGGACTTTCGTCTTCGTTTTGGCAGCGTGAGTCAGAGCAATGCCTCGTTCCAAGCACACCAGGAGGTGAGGCAACGGTCCAAGGAAAAGCAGGCTGTAATAACCCGGACGCCATTCAGGGGACTGCGTCTGCTTCAGGCATGCCATGAATATCGCATCGATTTCGGCATTGACTGCACGACTCGAGCGGCGTCTGACGTAACGGCGGTATACGTTTTGAATATTGCAAGCTGCCTCTTGCTCCTCCACCGATGGTCCGTTGGTGGGTAGCGACTCGTCAAGATCAGGTGCAAGCAACGTCGCCGCCTCATCCAAAGTCTCCGATACCTGACGGGTCTCGGTATCAGCATTCGCCGTGACATCTTCCTCTCTCTCTTCTTCTCCTTCAAACTCTTGAGGTTGCGGCTCCGTCATCTCTTTCTCATTGTGCCGCGTAACCTCTGGTAGGTTCTTGGGATGTTTTACGCGACGTGCGGAGGTAGGGGCCTCTACTATCATGGCAGGCTGTGTGATCACTGTGTACGATGAAAGAAGCTGGGGGATCTCGATGGTCTTCTCGTATACGAGCTGTCGGACTATATAGACTCGGGCACACTGGTTCATCGTTTTGTGGACAAGATGCACCAGGTTGCCCACTCCTTTATTGTCGTCGAAAACCAGGAGAGCTCGCAGGTAACCGTCTGGGGGTGGTGCCAATCCTGGCAAGGGTGTCGTGTACCTAACCACGTCATCCACGAGCTTCCGATAATTAACTGGATGCCCATTCGAAGGAGGGTCGTTTGTGTGTAGAGAAAGAATGATATTGTCTACTTTGCTTCTCAAGGTGCGATTGCTGATGTTATGGGCGACTAATGAACACAATTCAGCAGCGGATGGGTATTGAAGAGATAATAAACGTACTGAGGCAGAGAACCCTGCAGCTGCAATACACGTGATCAATATGTACATCGCCGACGGATACTAAATTGGACTCACATCCGGGAAATGAAAACATTACGCAGAATGGGCGTAAATTTCGCGTAGTTCAGCCAGAGGAAATCTGCCCAATTGTGATCTCGGATCTCTGAAAAATTAAGAGACTCACCCATGCCGGCTTCTACGCGCAATGCTTCGACCAGCCTCGCTATCTCATCTAGAAGCTCGCCCATCAAAAACAGGTTGGTTTTTTTCTCCGTAGTGAACTTGTGGGGAAACAGCAGCCAGTTACATGGAAGCACGGCGTTGTGAAGGGGAAACTCATTCAAGTGTGGGTCAATTCGCCAGTTGATTATAAAAGCACCGCAGACGTCCTCGATACAGTCGCACAACACCGAGAGGTTGGCATATAAACGATTATCGAGAACATGCCTGAATTGCACTTAGTTCACTGCATCATGTAGAGGCAATAAGAACGCTCACAGAAGATACATAATTCCCGATGAGATGCTGCCACGGGAAGCTCCTCGGGAAGAACTAAGCAGTTCAAGGACCATATAGCGATTGTCCCTCTTGCGAAAGAGTTCTAATGGTCCGGAGATCGTACATTTTGCTCGGGAGATATAGGCAAGTGCATTGTCCCTGTCAAAAGCAAAACTTAAACTAGTTATTCCCATCAATGCCGTCAAAAATTCAGCCTGAGTATGGAATGGGTGGAGCGAGTAGAAGGATTCGCAGATCCAGAGCTTCACCACTTTCATGCCATCTAAACGAAGAGGCATCAGGCTTAGGTCAAGGTCCGCGGGGGAACCTTGAATGAATAAGGGTGGATTGATAGCCTCGTAGAGATGCTTGAGCCAGTCCCTCATGCTGATAAAGTAATCAGCGTAAGTACTTGATGAAAGCTACATCCAAGCGTACCTTTTGCTTCGGTCAATGTATGGGTGAGCGGAATACATGAATTGCAAGATCAGAATATGCCAGATGTGGATGGCAACGCGGTTGTTGTAATACTGGCGATCCAATTTCGATACCGCAACATGCTCTTGAGGACAGCTATCTTTTCCACACACTCCGGATATCAAGAATTGCAGGCATTGCGAGAAAACGGGAGATCTGCAACACATAGCATCGATCTCCGACACTTTGTCTTTCAGGATCGTTCGAAAGGATCGTTGTAGCAGCTGGGTGACGTTACTACGAGAAGCTGTATACCCGGACGGACTTTCCGATACCCAGGTGATGCCCTGCCGGACTTCCATCATTTTGTTGTGGAGGAACGTTCCATTTGGTATGAGAAACTTGTCCCCGGACAACCGCACGATGGAGAATAGTCTCCGGATACCCCTATGCTCCATGGGGTCGGGGAAGGTCGAAATTAGATAGAGCAGTCGCGCATAGGCGTGAAACTGTTGAAGGAACCGTCGCATTTCATCGACCGTAAAAGCTCGAATATCTATGGTTCGAGAGAATACATGGTCCAGGCAAAGGAGAGCTGCTGGCTGGTTGTTCTGTTGATGGAAGCCAAGCGCAAGATTTCTCAACGGCTCGTGATTTTTGCGCAATATGTTTTGAAACATCGATATCTGGATATCGATCAGTCCAGCTGATCACTTTGAAACTGCTAATACGTACTAGATCACGTGTGGTCGGCGTTAGTGTGTTCGTCTCTAGTTGATCAGCAAGAGCTATGAAATGCTGCATCGGTTCAGCATTGGATTTTACAGTGATTCTGAAGGAACATTTGCGCCAAAAGTATTCCAATATAGTATCGGCCGCACGGACAGTAGAATCGACGTTGCTTTCGTCCTTGATGAATGCCCGGACAGCTTCCAAGGGCCTATTCTCTGACAAGTGGAGCTCTGCGACCTCATAGTACCTCGAGTGAGATTCGAGCAGTGAGGCACGAGCGTCATCGAGATCATAGTCCTCCAGAAATTCGAGTTCCTCATCAAATGTCGAGAAGAGGGGCAAGGGGGGCCTATGCAATTACTATTAAATAAAAATATTGTGGAGAGCTAAGACTTACTGAGCGTTGCTTCTGCTGCAGTAAAACAGTCTGCACACAGTCCATAACTCCGTCTTGGTCTCTTCAGGTATATCCGTGCCATGGTCATTAAGGACATGGAGGGTCTTGTCGAACCGTCCAGCCTTGCGATACCTTTTCGCTGCTTGCTCGAACTCTTGAGCATTGAGATAGGCCTTAGCAGCTTTGAGATCATTCCCTGCTCGAACGTAGCAACCCGCCGAGTTACGATAATACTGGAGCTTCTGGTTTCCTGTCGCGGTCGCCGCGCAATCAGTAAAGGCATCGGCGGCCACGTTAAAAGCTCTTTTTTGGTCGCTGAGTGAGGGCGCTCCGACACTAGAACGTGCGACTTCTCGTAGTTCATATGCTTCACAAACCTTCGCTTCACGATGAAGGTTGGCACGTTCGAAGCAGTGAATAGCCTGCGAGTAGCGCTTGTGCGAGAATAGTGAGCGCCCGAAGGACGCCCATTCTTCCGCAGTCGAGGAGACGGCTAGATGAGGGACATCTGTGCCGGGGGTACAATTCTGGATCTGATTGCGAGACGTCCAGAATATCTGAAGAGAACGGGTTATCAGATCGAGTTACGCCAACACGCTGCTCTAAACGTACACGCATCGGCTCCGATCTGTCAGATTTGTCAACAATCCATATGTTCTTCCTTGCTCGAGTGATCCCCACATAAAGAAGTTTGAGCTAATAAAAGTAAGTCGAAGTTCATTTCGAGGATCTGTGTGCCTACCTCGCTACAAACCCCAGCGTATCGCGCCTCGTCTCGTTCAAAGTTCGGTGCATATCCTTGACCGTCTACCCCGTTGAGAACCACGCGCCATCGCGAGAGATCTACAGCAGAATCCTCGAAAAAGTTGTACAGCAGCACCTGACCGAAGTCAGACATCAATCAGATAGTCAACTTAACTTTCTCACATCATTAAATTCTAGGCCTTTGCTCTCATAAAGCGTCCTGTATACCTATGTCAATAGGAAAACACAGAGCAAAGGTAGTCTTAATACGACTCACATAATTAGTCCAATTTGACCAACTTGGTCTCGTAACTTCTGACGTGCTGCATCGTCACGCACGAGAATGCCTAGATACCTTGTCAGTGTGTGAATGAAACCCCCAACCAATTACTCTACATTGCTCGGCTCCGAACTCAATGTGCTTGCCGCTGGAAGAATTCTCAGGAGGAAAATATGGGTATAGTCCAAGTCTGCTTACCTCTCCCCAAACAGGAACTGTTTATAATCAACGGCGTCTTTATCCCAACCAGTAAAAAATACAGGCTTCAGCCCGTCAACCACCCCCTTTTCTGGCCGAAGATTATCGATTGTGTTGGGCCAAAACTTTGTGATGAGTTCGATCACAGAACTTGCGCAGTTGACGATTCCACCGTGCGATCTGTAGTTGATCGCCAATTGAAACATCGCAGGCTGACGAAGACACGCTCCAGCGGAATTGACCGAGATATTTTGCTGCTGCTGCTGTAAGGTATCAATTCAGGCCCGAGCTAAGTCCCTGTCTGCTTACCTCAACACGGTAGAGAAACGCTTTCAGATCATCAAATCTGAAGGAACTCCCTGCAGAAATCGTCTGTGCGGTGTCCCCGGCCCAGAACAAACCGTCTGGATTCTTGCATAATTGCCTTAAAACTATAGCAGAAAGCTCTCAGGGGATTATGTCAACAAAGGATGGAGTAGCCACTTACAGAGTGCGTCGATCAGAAGGTTGTCTTGTGCTTCGTCGACATACCTGGTGCAGGTGGTCAGGCGCAAGATGCATTGGTGGGGGATAACACATACAAATAATCGATCTGTTGGACAGGGAACTTCTTGCTCCTGAAGACATGGAGTATTGCATGCGTGCTGTTTGGGAATATATCGTGACATTGCTTGGGTGAGAAGGGGAATAGGTCATACCGGTCTGCGACATCATGATGACGTCGCTGCCTCTTGATTTTCGTATAATACTCGAACATGTCGTACAGAATTCCCCTCTGATTCGCAAAATTTGGGTTAGAACGATGAGGAAGAAGGAGGTAGGTTGGGCGATCGAGAACTCTTTCAGGACAGGTCAATGCGTGTTCGGAGCCTTTGATGATTCCTGTATGTATATTCATAAATTTTCAGCGTCGATGTAATGCAAATAGCACACACCCATGAATTCGCTGAAAACCAACCACGGATCTGATGGGCAGTGTCAGTACTCTATTGTCGTCATAAGAGAAAAGGACACTACTGAGATTCTTGCTGAGATTCTGTGGAAAATGAGGCCAGTATTGATTTGCGAACACGTCATAGGTGACGAAACAGTCATGCGCGTCAGCATCGTCGACATTGAAGAAAGCTCCTGCACTATCTTTCTCGTCCAAGACATCTGCCGCGATCATTTTCGCCAGCTACATAAACGATTAGCTCTGGAACCGTCCGGGCGACAGATTGGGACGCACTCGATCGAAAGTTAGAAAAAGAGGAAAGTGTTTATCCTCAAGTCCGCTGTACCTCATCGGTATATTCATCTGTGATTCGGGCAGGTCGTCGAGATCAACAAGGCCCTCCTGAGCACTTCGTGCCTTCGTTTTTGCAAGTTCCTCCAGGGTATAGCCTGCTAATGCCAGAGATTCGAGAAGCTTCGCGAAATACTCTTCTACTTTCGTAGCAAGCACTCTGGATTTGGTGACGAAGATCTGGCGTGGCTTCGGCATGTCGGTGGCACTCATCTCCCAAGCTCGCTGAATGCCGAGAATCTTGAACAGCATCGTCGTGGTTTTTCTATTTGAGTGCGATAAATAAGCTATTCATATTAGGGGCAGGACACTTACCCCGTGCCGCTGCGACCCAAAACGTAACATGACGCGGTACACTCGACAATCTTTTGTTCTTGGGGTCTGCACAGACATTAATAAGAAAATGCGTCACATTGGGGCAGGACTCACGTGAGCATAAAGACGTGCTGTACGTCTTGGTTTGCGATAAGACCTTTTGGAAAGATAAGAGGAGGTGGCGAGCCAACTACATGATCACTCACTATGCAGGAACGCCTAAAATAAGAGGTTACCGAGTCAATATTTGCGTGTCTATGAATCGTATTTATATGCTTACTTGCGAGAATGTGACATATTTCTCCAAACTAGAAAATCGTTAGATGGAAACCAATTTGAATAAGGATGGCGAAAAATCGTACACGAGTAAAGTGTGAAGCTATGCCATGGATCAATGACTGTACAAATGACAACTGAAAGTACTCAACTCGGTCCATATCCTTATCACTAAAATTAAGTGGGCCTCCTGAGCATTCTGGCTCGGGTTCAGCTGATGGGAATGATGCAGGCAGAATCACGCCGTCTTTAGAAAGGACAGGTCTATTCCGAAAGATACACCTGCACAAGTAACGATTCACTGAATTGCATAAAGAGCCGAGAAAATTTTTCACCTTCTACGATATTCTCTGCCCTTGCATGCGAGATGGCTACCCAAGGCATCCCATATGTTGCCAGGTTGTGCATGCGTATAAATACCGTATATCTTGATTACTGGAGTTCATATGAGTGCTAATGACGGACGGATGTAGTTGCTCCTGACAGTTCACCTTGTCTTTCGGACTGTCAGGACTCCAGTCTCAATATCATGCTCGATGCTGATGTAAAAAAGACGTACCTTTCCGTCCTGGTCAGGAACACAATCAATTTGGTACTGTGAGAAAAGGTCAGTCGTCTCCTGCTCTAATCAACGTATGTGAAATTACACTCACCACCAATTGTAGGTCCTTTGTGATCTTGGCATCGTAGATGGGTATGCCTGCATCCGGCCCGTTGAGTCGCTTGTGATTATCGTCTGAAAAATGACCATTCGATAGTTCTCTGTGGTAACGATGAGATCATTACAGCGAAAATCATCAGAAGACAGACTTGATCTTCCCGACGATGATCTTGAATATCTTCTTTTCTGATTCACGCAATTCACGCAAATTTTTGTAGGCCTCCGTAGATATGAGGATTCGCCACTCTCCAAACCCGTCCGCGTTCTCAAAGTAAAGCGCGGCCTTCATAGGCTGCACCATTTGGTACGCTTTGGGTCGGGTTGTTGGGCTCTCAACATCCTCGGTTGACGAAACCTCAGGCGCAACATCTTTGGCAGACTCGCCCACGTTTGGGAGGAGTAAGGCTTTAATGTCGCCTGCCAATTCCGTCCTCCGCAGAAGCGAGAGATAGAACTTACGGAGAGCTGTCAGGGGAAACGTCAAAAAGCAACGAATATACTCACCAAGAGAGCATTTTTCAGCTTCGTAAGAATGTGAGTAGACAATGATGCGGCAGCCTCGTTCGTGAGAGGCATAGCCACATCAAGCCTCAGGAAGAGAGATGCGTCGATAGACGTATGAGCTTTCGGGCGATTGCGCTTGCGCATTTTCTGAGGCACTTTCTTCTTGACGAATCCGTCATCAGATTCGTCGCAAACACCAATCTCGTCATCAAACGATCCTGCACCAGAAAATTTCATAGTGGTCAACGCGCAAAGTACAGGTAAAGCGTCCTCGACGAAGCCTCTGTGACGGGTGATGTCCCTAGAGACATCCGTCGCTAGAGACTCAGCTGGAAAAGCTAGAAAGTACATAGACAGGTTGTCTAGCATCGTTCTCGCAACGGATGTTGGATATTCTTGGGGTCTCCTTGGAAAATCTGTCATGATCTGTGAGATCATTGCCTCACGGCGATCCCAAACTGTTAATGAGTCAGAGCTGATGACGCTCAAAAAAAGTTTGTGAGATACCAGAAATAATATATGCAAAAACATAGGGTGACGACAACATATGCTTGACCGTAACTTGTAATGCGGTTGCTCCTGAACTTGAAACGATTGTGTCCAGATGATGCAAGGCGGTTCTGAGGCCTGCCTCGTTGACTATTCGATCTTTTGAGAGTAAGTCCAACATGGTCTGTTGAACAAGAGCAACTTGTGATGATGAAGTGGTTGTATGAAAGGCTGGGGATTAGACTTGAGCTGTGTCAACGGTACAAAGGATTCAGGAATGCCTCGAGCTTGAAGCGACTCCGCAAGCTAGGATGTTATCCTTATATCGTCGAGCCAGCGCTCTGCCTGAATTTCCAAACAGGTTGAGGCGCAAATAGCACACCCCAAATCGATACCTACATGCAACCTGAAGCTATACATGAACGCTTGAGCGATAAACTTGGACCCTCAAATGATCCCACTGGCAGATTGAGACAAGAACACGACCCTTACGTAGGTGGGACTAGCCTGATGTGTAGGTCAGCATTCCGAAATAAATCGGCTAGGGCTAGGGTCACCTCATATCAGAATGGCGACAAAAAGTTGGCGTCTAGATTGATGGAAATAAGGTACAAGTCTCAGGCTGGACCTACGGAGCGTGTTGTGATAGAAGCAGACGAGTCACGAGAGGCGCAATATGTTAATTTTTCGGAAATCTCCTATAGCTTCATATATACATTTTATATCATACAAGCAAATATAATCCGTTGACCTTCAAATGTTTACTACGATGGATTACAATAAGAGATGCTCTGTACACTGTTGTCCTTCTCTTGCAAACACCGTTCGAAAATTCGAATGCCTCGTACTCTTCACCGACATCCGATACTTCCTTGTTGGGACTTTTCCCACGCCATAGGGTGTTGGGCATGTGTTGACAATACCAAGCGCAGCTGAGCGCTGATCACGGTGATCTCGAATTGATGATCCAGCACAGGCTTGCGAAGTTCATGAAACGCATGGCAGCCAATCCGCGAGTGTGGAAGGTCGTTATCAGTATGATGCACTTCAGGTAAGTTCAGACCATCTGTATGTCTCCCAGACATGTCCTGACCTCATGTTTACTACTAGTAGTACTATTAATCATCGTGTAAACCTTGACAGAACACATTACGAAATGTCATGATCTATTCCTTGTCATGGTCGTCTAGAGGCAGATCGATACACACGCCGTGGTCAAGCAGACTGACAGAATGTTCATTAATTGGCACGATTCTGCAGATGAAGACTCGGCCGCAGCACCGCCGCAGCTGGAGACTTGGAGCATATAAAAAGTGAGCAATCACAGTGGGGCGAATGCCATCGAGATTGAGTGGAGCTCCGTGCAGCAACCTCCGCTTTGGTCGAAACGACTCGGACTATCAGGTATGCCGTATAGTATCTTTGAATTAGATCTCATTTTCATGAACGAAGGTGCAGCCTCGCATCATGGCAAATATTTTTCTTTTGTCCTTATCATCCTTGTGCACAGCCGTATCATATTCCCTCAACCACTCCCTACGATACTTCAAAGAACGCTGTATACATCGTCGAATTCTTCCCAACGTTCCAAACATCCATCGTCTCAGCCGAAAGTCTCATTCTTAATATCTGTCTTACTTTCGTCTCGATCTTTCATTCCCCTTCAAACTTGCATGTTCTTCTTGTGGGGTCGCAAATAAGACTTACATCTTCAAATCCTCACGTCGCGATTTTTGATGTTTCAGTTGATCACTCCACCTGTGCTGGTTTTGATTGGACCAAGTACTGTTTATCCGCTCTTGATATTCCATACTCTTGCCGTCCCATCATTGGATCCATCCACATGGCCACTCGTTCATTCAGTCCACTAATCGCACCCAATCAGTGTGTCCCGTCCATTTGGCGATGACCCTCCCGTCTCTACATCTCGCAATGTCACTATCCTACCAGTGCCTCCACTCGTAATAGTTTTGTCGTTCGGAGATAATGTTACGATAGTGAACACTAATCACAGATTTAGAGTCCCTTCATATTCTATCTGTAATACTCTCCAGGTTCATAGTTCAAGTGACCCATTCCACTTGAATCTGTGATGATGCGTCGTCCCCCAGGCAGGTGCACAACACCCTGTACCTTTCCAGGGAGACCTCTCATCGTCTGACCACTGGCATTTGTTACTTCATATTGGTCATAGAAGACATGGCTGATGTTTGACGTGTCACAGCTGATTGTGAACCGTTTTGGCTATTCATTGTTGGATTGTGCGTCTCGTTTGATCCATGCATCTATGCAGTGACCACAACTGAAATTCTGAACTCAGCCTCTGTATCCTTGAACAATCCAAGAATGTAGATCAGACTGTATGGGAGATGATTTGTCGATGAGGTAAAAAGATCATGAACCGGTGGAAATATCATCAGTGAACCAATGAGTCCTTGATATTGTAGACATGGCTATTGTAATCAAATATAATCTGGATATCGCACTGTAATACTATGGATACCCAAATATATTTGTTTCGCGATGGAATATGTATGAATTATATCAAAATACAGGAGTATGATCAAAGTTTGTGGCGAGACTGCAGGGGAGCGTGATCACAGGAACAAATGGATAGATATCCACTTTTCTCAACCTTGGTGTATGTTCTCGTTTGTCAAGTCCTTGAGATCGTAGATATGGCTATATAATCCAACATCATATTGCTCCCAAAATTGTATGACTTTTTAAGGCTTTCCGACGGAAAGCCGCTTTCGCATCCGATAAACAATTCTAGAGCACCGTGCCCATCAGGGAAAACCTCCCACGGGAATTTTGAAAATGTGACAACAATTCTCGAGAATTATGGCAAACTTTCATCAAATTTTTGTAAAAGCTTGTAAATAGTTGATAAATAGTCACATCCATAACGCAGTCAGTGAATGCACTGAAAAAGATATCTACAGGGCTCTAGTTGAACCTGCCATGAGATATGTAACTAATTACTAGTATATCAAAAATGTAGAGTTCACGCAATGCAGAACGGGGATATATTTAAACAGGTGGGAGGGAGAATTCGGAGGTGTCTGCTGCTGGCTACATAGAGCTCGCTCGAAGGGCCTTAGCCTCAGCGACAACAAGTAAATTGAGAAATTGAAAATCGAACCACCAACAATTTAATTACTAATCACAGGGCTCCCACGGTTGATTTCAATGAACTCATTCAAATATTCATGTTTCACTCTGCAACTTACACGAGCCGCGGCAACCACTTGCACACCCTGTCACGTCGTTTTCTTTATGTTTTCATTCTCCCTTACGGTTACTGTTGGGGACTCTAGGTGAGAGGCATCACCACCACAGAGCTAAGTCTCGCTCCGAGCGGGCGTCTGAATTCTGTTGTCGCATTCATCTGTGCGTGGTCATTCAAACCAGGTGTCTATGTAGGATTCCTTTTTTTCTCTTCTTTTTGGCGGTCCAACCGGCCTTCCTGATCTCTCCCAGCTACAGGCTCAATTTGGAGCATACACATAGCTCAAAACTGCATTCTGAGGGTGAGTCATGTAGTTGAATCCTGGTTTCACAGCGACCCGCTCATGCTCACTGTCAGAATCGCAAATTCCCTACTCGAGCCGCAGCTCAGGCCAGAGCCGGGCCACTGCATTCTGAGGCGCGCAGGTGAGTCATGTGGTTGATTCCTGGTTCCTCCCTACCCGCCTCCCCGTGGTCCACGGCTCTAGTGTGACGACTGAGCAGGATGAACATCCCATGGTCTTGGGCCTCACTGCTAGCCCTATGTTCGGTGGCAATCCTACTGCAGCCTTCCGGTATGGTGCTCGGATTGGAGACTACGAATATTATTGACATGCTTCCAGGAAGTTGGAAGCCAACCTCGACTGCGTTATTCATAGTCCTCGAGCCAATCGGGATGAGCTCTTGACTCATGTCCACTGTCCGATCTTCCGACACGTGTGCTACGATACACCGCAATACTCTGATCATAACTATACTTCTAAAAATTTATCAGCAGTCGATGCCATTATTGCTACTATGAACATCGGATCCCGAATTCCATGGTCTCAGCTGTGGTTACTGTGGTGCATCTTTTTCTAACTGTTCAAGCACTATCTCACTGTGTTCTACCAGATTTTTTCTTCCCTACTTGATCTGAAGTTGGTTGACTTTGCATCCGCTGAGTTGAAAGCAGCATTTGCGCGAATCGATTTCGATGGGATGAGTAGGGCATTCCTGATAGCACAGGGACTTTGCGTTACACATTTTGTCTCATTTCCTCATTTTCATATCTTGTGATTTGCGATATTCTAGTATTTAATCACATTATAATCATTTTGTTGTATTCGTGTGGATTTTCATAAATTTTCACCCATCCGTAGAGGGACTTGGAATATTTTAATGTATTTTCAGAAAGTCAGAAAATTTCAGAAAATTTTACAAAATCTTCGCGGGAGGTTTTCCCTGATGCCAGTTCTCCACAACACTACGACATATCACAATCACTCAAGACAATTAACACTACTCCAGACGTGCTAGTTTTATTGAAGGTACTCATATTCTCTCACCTATGCGTCACATTACACGACTTTTGAAACAAACTAATCTAGACCTGCCGTTGTTTGGCAAATCCTTTGGATCCAAACAACCGCTTTGCATAACACACTTCACGCGACTTCTCCAGGATGCTCGACAAAAGTGAGTTGATTCTGTTTCCTCGCAACTGTCTGTTATTTTTGCTACTACGCTACGCTCAGTATTTGCATGGTTCTAAATGTACAAATGTTATCATGTCATCCGAGTCCTTTGGTCGAACTGAGCCTATCCGAAGTTGTGCTACCTATACATTGCATAATAGCCTGTGAGCATTAGGGACGAGGATGCCAAGTTTGGCGTTGGTGTCGCCAATCGCCAGCGTCCGAGTCTAGTGAAAGACGTACTTTCAGGATCTAGAGTTACCCTACTAGTGCATGGCGCATGTCAACCAACAATCCATCAAACCTCAATGTTTCATCATCAGACAACGCGGGCAGGCGAGACTTCATGGTCTCGTAACGGGCCCTGTTTTCCGCGGACTCAAACACTATAGCCCCAGACCAAGGGCCCGCCAAACCTTTCTCCAGCGACCAACCACGTGAAGTTGCTGCAAGGAAGATGGCATTGGTGAGGTAGCGTTTCCAGTCCTCTTGGTCGAAGGGAACGTAACGAGAGTACTGCATGTTGTTTATTATATGTTCTAGCAAGTCAAAGACGGCCGGGTGGCCAAACAGGATTCGGTACGTTATAATTCTCCCGTCGTCCATAGTCATCTGTAATGAGTATGCATCACGACACGAAAATAAAATTTCGTTATGACCTACCTGAATGACCTCATCGGCGAATAGAAAATTTGACAGTAGGGCAGTCAGTCTTGTGATCCGCGCTGTTTCCATGTCAAATTTAGTCATGGATATGTTGTGACTCAATGCGTAGGCAGATATCCAGGAGAACGTAGCGACCTGCTCGAAGTCACTGTGTATTTCCTTCACAACCGCTTTCATCCTCGCAAGTAAATTTTTACCATCTTGCCCAGATTTCCAATGGACGAGGTCGACCCCATTAACACCTTTGGTGGTAGAGTACCGAGCGATCGTATCGTCCAGTGCTCTCTTAGCGATAGCGGAGTTCTCTGTCGTGGACGGGAAAAGGTTTTCTTGGAACAAAAACTTAAACATAGTCGTTCGAGCATCCTCTTTTACGTCTCGTATGAACTCCGGCGATGTGAAACCTAGCGACAGCGATGAGGGCGTTTGTATCATGGACAAAGGTGATTCCTGGGGGATTTGTTTGGAGGTGAGAAACTTCGTCCGAGAGCTCGTAGCTTTACGGCTGCTCGGTCGAACACTCCGGCCCAACTTTTGGGTCACATGAGGCATGGGGTCGGAGGGGGGCTGAGGGTCGTTCGAGTCGGTGTGAGATGTCGCGAAGTAGTACTCGCTGTGCGAGCTGCTGGACGCCATAGTATAGGCGTCAGCAGGGAGTTGAAGATTGTGTATGGTTTGCGGAGCCGTGGAGTCGTGGACGGGACCAGCGTGAGGGAGACCAGCGTGAGGGACGGGACCAGCGTGAGGGACGGGACCAGCGTGAGGGACGATGACCGCATTGTGCCCGTCTGGGAATGTATGCGGCGGTGGCTCCATACGCAACTGACTGCTGCTGCCTGCAGACAGGTAGTCACCGTGAGCACCAACTTGAAAATTATGAGCAACTTGAGACAGTGTAAATGAATGATAACGAAACTCACAATTGGTGCTAGTACTACCGTCATTGTAGCCTTGCCAGGGAATGTTCGAGTAG